GGGGGAGAGATCTCTTGAGTTGTTTTCTTCATCCCTTCTTTTGCCTACTCCAGTTGAATTTTTTGTCGAGCCCTTTATAGTTACCCCCATTCCCGTAGAGGGTCTTTTGAGGTCTTCCACTCTTGCACCTCCTCCCCCTCCTCCTGCTAGTCCTCTAGTTGTTTCCACTCATCCTATTCTAAGGCAAACATAAGTTGATCCCACACCTCCAGTTGAGCCGTAGGCGTTCCCGATTACTGAAGAGAGGACATGTCCATCACCTCCTCCACTAGCACCCTTGTTTCTGGACCTTGACCTATCCATCGCTTTAAGAAAATGTAAGAGGAAATGTACAACTCATTGTATTTCCAAGCACCTTTCCTACAACTTGTTGTCCCCATCCTACTATGCCTTTCTAGCCTCCATTTCCTCTCAGTCCATCCCAAAGTCTATTTCAGAAGCCTTAGCCATACCAGATTGGAGGGATGCTATGAGTACTAAAATAGAAGCCCTTCATAGAAACAATACCTAGGATATTGTTGACTTGCCATCTGGGAAGGAACCTGTTGGGTGCATGTGGGTTTTCACTATCAAGTATCGTGCGGATGGGTCAATTGAGAGGTATAAGGCTTGGCTTGTTGCCAAGGGATATACCCAGGTATATGGGATAGATTACATTGAGACCTTTTCTTCAGTTGCTAAGATGACTTTGTTGAGAGTTCTTTTATCCTTAGTCGTGAGCTATGATTGGCCTCTATATCAATTTGATGTTAAGAATGCATTCCTAAATGATGATCTCATTGAAGAGGTATATATGTCCCTTCTTCCTGGTATATATGGCAAGGAAATGCTGGGTAAGGTGTGCAAATTGAAGAAATCACTTTATGGCTTGAAACAATCTCCACGTGCTTGGTTCGACAGGCTTAGGGCTTCTCTTGTTTAGTTTGGCTACACTCAGAATCAATCAAATCATACCCTTTTTGTTAAGAGAAAAGGCACTTTGGTGACATTCCTTATAGTTTATGTGGATGATATTGTGCTTACTGACAGTGATACAAAAGAAGTTAGTGCTCTCAAAAAGTTTCTCAGTTCTGAATTTGAAATTAAAGATTTAGGGGAGTTGCGTTTTTTTCTAGGCATTGAGGTTGTTAGGTCCAAGGAAGGTATCTTTATTTCTCAGCGGAAGTATGTGCTAGACCTTCTTACTGAGACTGGAAAACTTGGTGCTAAACTTGCCTCTACCCCTATTGATGTGAATCCTAAACTCTCAGCTAATGATGGAGAACTTTTAGCTGACAGGGGAGTGTTTCAAAGATTATTAGGGAAACTTCTTTCTCTATGTATGACTTGTCCAGACATTTCATATGCAGTGAGTGTCATAAGCTAGTTCATGCATGCTCCTAGAGACACACATATGGATGTTGCAGAAAGGGTGTTATGCTACCTTAAGGGAACCTTCAGGAAGGGTATATTTTTTGCTAAACATGGACACATGAAGTTAGAAGCATATACAAATGCTGATTGGGCAGGAAATGTGGATGATAGGAGATCCACATCAGGATATTGTGCTATGGTAGCCAGAAATATTGTTTCCTGGAGAAGCAAAAAGTACCCAGTGGTTGCTAGATCTTCAGCTGAGGTAGAGTATAGAGCTATGGCCCATGGTGTTTCTGAGTTGTTATGGCTTAGATCTCTCCTTAATGAGATGGGTGTTTCATGTGACAAGCCACTGATGTTGTATTGTGATAACCAAGTTGCTATTAACATTGCTCACAACCCAGTTCATCATGATAGAACTAAGCACATTGAGGTAGACAAACACTTTATACAGGAGATAGTGGCTTCAGGAGAGGTGTGCCTACCTTTCATTGCATCGGAAGAGCAGGTAGCGATTTTCTAACTAAGGGAGTCCCAAAGGCAAAGTTTCAACATTATGTAAGCAAGCTGGGCATGATTGAAATCTATGCTCAGCTTGAGGGGGAATGTAGCGAGAATGGGCCGAATGGGCCCTAGTGTTCTTTATTTCTTTTAAGTAGTGTTTAAAAGTTATGTTTCTTAGTTATGGGCCTTATAGGCCTTCTTTTATTTTCTTTAATTATCTCTTTAGTGCTGGCCGCCCCATTAAGGGTATCCAAGTAATTGTACTCAGACTTAGAATTATTAATAAGAGTGATGAAAGGGGGCTAGAAAGAGTGGTTCTAATTCTTCTTTTCTCTCTTCCCTTCTTTTCTTCTTCCACAATCTATTGTTGGAACTTCTTTTCTTCTTCTTTCTCTTTCTCTCTTTTCTTCTTTTTTGCATTTTCTGAATTACTGTAGGTGTAATTTTCAACTGCAAAGTCTGGCCAGGCCCAACCTGGGCCCGTATAGACCTGGTTGGAGGCTTATATTTCGGGCCTAGGATCTGGGCTGGTCTAGGCCCCAGCCCAGGCTATAGCCCTTATCATAAGTGATAATCCCAACTTGGTTCATGGTCATCCATTGTTTTATTATCTTAAAAATATAAACGAACTTTTAGAATAGCAGAGGATGCATATTCATAATTTATTAGTACTTTTCATATTGAATAAATAGAACATAATATATAAAATAGTACAAAATATTAAATCACACAAACATATTATTAGTGCTTTCCCTATTTACCTTGCATTGTCTCTATTGGTTGTTTATAATGATATAATATCTTTAGAATGCTTAATTATGCTTCTTTTATTCTTCTTGAAGCATCAGCAGAAATTTCTAAAAACTTTATGATGTTTCCAATGCTTTGACATGCCATTTTCAGCTTGCTTCTTACTTGTAAACAACAGACTTATAAAATTTCTGTTGTTTTATTTTCTACTCAGCTTCTTTTTGAGCAAATTTAGGAATAAATTGATAAAACTGTTTTGATTTTTTATAGGTAGTTGATTCTTATGCATTGATTGGGGATGTATCTGGACTTGCGGAAAAAATACAGAGCTTTTTTATGCAAGAAGTTCTCTCAGAAACACATTCTGTTTTAAAGAATATTTTGTATGAGGTTTGTTCTTTTTAGCTTACTCTTGGTTCACGGTTTCTATTATTATGTTATTTTCTTGTTTTTTACTGTGACAGTGATTTGTCCCAAAACTGTCAAAGAGTTTCAAATTAGGGACAATATTTCTGGGTTGGATTTTGTCAGTGAAATTTTATATGTAATTTTTTGTCTTGGATAGATAAGAGGATAATGAAGTTTAATAGGACTATGCCATGTACAAAAGGATGCCAGTAAGGGAGAATAATGGAGGCCCTCAAACACATCTACCGGTGGCTGATGAAAGTTATAATGGCTTGAATATAATTAGACCAGAAGAAACTGATAATGAAAGAACTACAGCTTTGGAGGATGCTCAGTTTTTTGAGAAGAACACAGTTCTGGAGTGGAAAGGCTCAACAAGAATTCTTCTTGCCCGTTTGAGTCCAGGAAGGTTATTGCAGCAAATAGAAGACTTGAAAAACAAAAAAAAGCATAGAAATATATTGGTTTCAAGGGCTTTTGCCAGACTAAAAGGGGGCCTCTTTGGGATTGGACCAAACAAGAAGTTGTTCAAGTTCAAGAAAACTGCAGGAAGACATTAGTAATTTTGTGGATCAAAGGCTGCAGTTTGTGAGTTAGTGGTGTTTTTTGGTTATTTTCGAGTTTAGATGTGTTTGGTGGGGTTTTGATATGGCATTTATCTTTGTTTGGCCTGAGTTTTTAGCTTTTGTCCTTAGGCTGGTTTTGGGATCTTTTGCAGTTGTGTGTGTTTTTGTTTTGTGGCATTTATGTGGGTTCTGATTTTTTTTTTTTGAAGAGTAAAATTATAATTTTATAGATAGAAAAAAAAAGATACAACCCGAACAGGGGTGTTAAGATTACACCTGAGCCAAATACTGAAATGGGAGATTTTTTTTGATAAATAATTCCGCAACGGGAGATTACCAAGACACAAAAGCTAACATAAAGAAAACCGGGACCCCTCTCTTAAAAAATTGTCTAGTCTTCAGGTTTAAATGCCTCATCACATCCCTCCTTCTCTTTATCCCCTGACCCTGGCCTAACCTCTAGACCTTCCTTTGTTGGGGTTGACGTAACCTCCTATACTGCAGCTTGATGCTCCTCCCCCCTCCTTTCATCACCCTTCTTCTTCGATTCAAAAACTTTTAGTTTCTTCTTCTTATATACTCTTTTATATTTATTGGAGTGTCCTGCCCCAAACAATACATCTTTTAACCTTGAGAAAACCTTTGACACATGGACAAAATGAGACTTATTTGTCTCTCTGGCTTTCTTCACCCCTTCTAGAGGTTCAATGTCTTCTTGTATACACGTCTTCTCCAACCTAAATGGACTCCAATCCTACTGACTGCGATTTTCACCTTTTGGAAATCCTCGCATTCTAAAGCCGAGTCAGAATTGTCGTCCTTGTCCAAGGCCTCTTTCACAGCCTCAGCACAGCAAGACACAATTGGTCTATTGACGTCAACCCCTTCCTCACCAGCCCTATCTATTACTTCTTCCTTGTCCTCCCCTTCTCTTACTGACTCCTTCACCGCTTCTCCAGAACCCACCACCCTTCCCTCTGTCTGATTTTTTGAGCAAAAAACCCCTTGGTTCTCCTTCTCCAAATTCCTTTGTTGTGACGAGATGGAAAAGAAGGAAGAAATGGAAGAAAGCTCTACTTCGAAATCACCAAAACAAAGAACATTACATGCTTGCTGACCAGAACTTGACTTCTCTTTCTTGGTTTTTGCTGGTTTTCTGGAGGTTAGGCTGGCTTGGAGTGCTTATGTTGTGTTTGTAATTTTTGCTTCTTCTCTCCTCTTCTAGAGTGACCTCTGGTCACTCCCCTCTGTAATTTCTTTTTCCTTTTAATGAAAATTATTCTATTACCAAAAACATGCATTGTACAAACAGACAAAAATTCTGGTTTGTGAAGAAAATCCATAAATTATGGAATCTAAGGTTCTAGGTGGACTTTTGTGGTGAAATTTGATATGATGAAAGGTGATAAACATCTATTAGGGGCATCCAAATACGACACAACTGGATAGCACAATATAATGGAAATCACAACAAACCGAGAAAAAAATTTCTAGGTTTATGTATAAACTGATAAATAAACATACATGAATCAATTTTGGTCCTTTGGAGATATCAGTCGAAATCTTTTGATGAAGAACTTGTGAGCTGTTTATGGGCTATGGCTGTAATTGCTGCTTGAAAGTAGAGAGAAAACATGTAATCGCTCAATGGGCATCAAGAATTGGTCTAGGGCATGAGATAACATGTAGATTGTAGAGAAATCATTCAAATATCATTCAACTTGTTTTTAACTCTAAACATATATATATATAGACACTGTAGGGGTGGTGAAACAGGACTCATGTAGCCAACCCCTGGGACAAGGCTTAGATGAGGATACTAGAACTAGGAAAAGTGAAAGTGACAGAATTGCCATTATTGTAAGAAAACTAAATAACTTCAAAGCTACTTAACTGTAGATATGAAAATTTAAACACAACTAAACTATGACTAGACAAATAAAACTATTACGCTGTATCCCATATTTATGTAAAATAACTAAAGTATCTAAAGATACAAAAGTACATAAAAAATCCAGAAAATTGCAAATTTGACTCTTTGGATCATTGTCTTTATTGTTGGACTTTGTTAATATGTTTCACTTGTGTATTGTGGTTTCTTTTAGTGCTACATTTACTAGGATTCCTCATATCTGATTAATTTTTGCAGGATCGGATATGGCGTAGCATTCAGAAGATTAGGTGTCTTTCTTATACTTCAGCTACCATTTATGCTTTTCTTTTGCTAACTTATACTTGCGTTTTCTTGAAAATTGTTTCTTTGAACTTGTTAGTTTGCAATCTGTACACAATTTATTTTCTATTGTTCTGCCTGTCATTATTTTTTTTGCATGTTAATTTATTTTCTTTTCAGCTTGTACTTTTCATTGCTTTTGATCTGTAACAATAAATTTCTGTATTGTTGTGAAGGAAAGAGTACAACATTGAATTTTACTTTTGTTTTTGTTTTTGTCATTGCATACATGACAATTTTGTTCTAATGAACGTTATTGACATAGAGGTTGTAGATGTGAAAAATGATATAATAATGGATACCTGTACAATGGTGCTGTATCATGCTGGATTCTTTGATTCTTAGTATAAATTCCGTATTCTATACTTTATCCAACTGTGTCCTTGCCTAATCTGGGTAACATAGTACAACTGTGCTAGGGAGGTGTACATTGAACTACCTTTAAAAATGAATTATCAAAACTTTACAGGATGTTGCTTCAGGAGTAAGATTGGTATTTGTGGAACATTTACAGGATGTTGCTTCAGGAGTAGCAAAAACTCCTCCTCCCACACTACTACTACTACTACTACTACTCCCACATTTTCTAATCAACACATTTTCTTTTCTTCTTTTCCTATAACAAAAATAAGGGTTCAGCCCCTATATTTTTTGAATTTTCTTGTCCTTTTTTTTCTTCTCATGAATATGTTGATTTTCTATACTTTAACATGAAGTCTATACTTTTTTTATGAAATTATGAATAATTCTTACGGAAATATGGTTATGGTACTTAGGGAACTAGCCTAGGATCTATGTTTTCTACATAAAAAATCCATTGCCTAGGTGACGCCTAGGTGCCCGCCTAGGCAACTAGGCGACAAGGGAGCACCTTGTCGCCTAGCCTCGCGTTGGCACCTTGAAAACTATGCTCCTAATATAGGTTATGCTATTTTTTCCTAGTTAGGGAGGTTTATTTCAGTGGTGATAAGCGCATGTGCCTGGAAGTCTAAAATGGATTTTTTATCCTTTCTGTCATGTTTCTTTTGGGATGTGAATATTGGAGGAAGTACCATTGTAAATTGTTTCAGATGATGATTATAGATAACTAAAACATTTCTTATATGAATTTGGGTGGAGGTCTTGTTTCTATACAGTTATTATCATAATCATCATCCATGCCTTATTTCAACTATATGGGGTCAGCTACATGAAACCTGTTTTGCTAATTTGTTCTATTTAAAGCAGTATCCACTATCATATTATTAGTGCTTACTTAAATCATTTCTTACTACATCTACCCATGTCCTTTTTGGTCTACCCCTAGCTCTTCTAGCCCCTTCAACATTGATGTGGACAGAAAAACAAGTTACATGCAGCATTTCAAATGTACAACAATAATCACAAGTAATACCAAGTTGAAAACAATAAACAAGTTGGATTTTTAGGGATTTCAGACCTGAACCTGAAGTAGAACTCCTCTTCGAATAGTTATGTTACATTAAAAATGGCATCAAGTTGGCCTCTTGTGCGGACATGCAGCGATAGAGGGATTGGAAGGTGCCGAAATGGGTTGACTCCTCAAAACCCAAGCTCTCAATACTTGAAAACCCTAGCTGGGGCTGAGCTACATCTCAAACAAGAGAAAAAGAACCAAAAAGACCCCTACAGAAAGAACCCCCTTCCCTTTTTTAAGATTCAATGGCTTGTTAGAGAAGGCAATTAAAGTATTTACACATAAGCCCATAGAATGTTTCCCTTTCACAAACAACTCCTTAAGAACAAAATTAGCTTCAAAAACCCCCAAAAGATAACTTTTGTTACAAAAGACCCAAGAGACAAAAGTCAACAGTTGTGCACCCAACTGCCCCTGACCAGAATCGGAATTATAAATGATGAAAATACCCCTGGGCCCAAATGTGAACAAAGCTACCCAAAAAACAACAATTTGGGATCCTATCACAAAAAAAAAACACACAAATACAAAATATGGCTTCATCAAACATTTTTTTTTTCGGAAAAAGTAAGGTAAATTTATTAGAAAAACTTAGAGATACAAGTAGAAACCTGCCAAAGACACGGCAGGAATGGGGACCCCATTACAAACACCAAATCGACTAAGATCTCAACAATTGGAATACATTTAAATGTTTGAATTCTGGAGTGACAGAAATCTAGGACATCAATTTGCTGACTGCCGCCTGCCTTATCTCCTCTGGACTTTTCACTTTTTGGTTAAATATTCTGTTGTTTCTCTCAGACCAAATGGCCCAGAGCACTGCTGCCGGGATAGTACTCCAGATTAGCTTCCCTTTTTTCTTTAAATTGCTGATCTTCCAACTGCAGAGCACATCCTTTACAGATTCTGGCATGACCCAACAAATCCCCGCAGCCTGTAAGAAATGGTCCCACACCTGGGCGGCAATCGGGCAGTGAATACAAAGATGATCAGTAGTCTCTGGGTGTGATTCACAAAGAGCACATGAGTCATCAGGGATCTGCAAGCCTCTTCTTTCTAGGTTGGTTCTGGACAGGCATTTATTTAAAGCCATAGTCCAGACAAGGAAGTTCACTTTTGAGGGGCTAATTGAATTCCAAATCTGCTTAGATGGAAAATCCCCCACTACAGTTTTACTACTGAATCTACTGGCCATTGATTTTACTGAGAAGCTACCCTCTTTAGACCAATTCCAAGTCCACTGGTCATCCTGATTACAGTCAATCCTTTGAGCTTGTAAAATTTCCAACAATCTCATAACTTCTTCCGCTTCCAAATCAAAAAGGCTTCTTCTGAACTGTGGAACCCAGGTCACCTCATTACCCGAGAATGTGTAAGAGTCAGCAATGAAATCATTCTGATTGGTGGCACACTGAAAAAGAAAGGGGAATCTTCAGCCAAAGGGTGGTCTAACCACCAAGGTCCTTCTAGAATTTGATTCTGTCTCCTCTGCCTATTTTGAAGCTTAAACCCTCTCTAAACAAGGGAAAATATCTCATTATGCCTTTCCATAAAGAGCAGCCCCAATTAGGAAGTGGATATCTCGATCTCCAGTTTCCCCAATCTACCCCAAACTTGGCGGCTATCAGGCTTCTCCACCAAGCTCCCCTTTCTGTTGCAAATCTCCAAATCCATTTACTAAGAAGAGCCGAATTAGTCACCTTGTTTTTCCTTAAACCCAGTCCCCATTCTTCCATAGGAAAACATATTTGATCCCAGTTGACAAGATGAATCTTCTTTTCTTCCTCCCAACCCCTCCACAAGAAATTCCTTTGGAGAGTCTCTAGTCTCTTTGCCACTTTTGCTGGGACAGGGAAAAGGGAAAGAAAATAATTAGGAAGATTTGAAAGGGTACTTTTTAAAAGGGTTACTCTTCCTCCAAAAGACGGATATTTTTCCTTCCAAGAGGAGAGCTTTTTTTTTTTTCTAATATTTCAATTACCAGGTCCCAAATGGCTGAAGAAGAACATTTAGCTCCCAAGGGCAGTCCCAAATATTTAACAGGAAGCTGTTCCACCCGACAAGCCATTAATTTGGCACATTCCTCCAAATTAGGAACCTGACCCACTGGGATAATTTGGCTTTTATTAAGGTTGAGTTTCAGACCTGTTACTACTTCAAACCAGCTGAGAATCTCTAATAAGTTTTCTAACTGCTCCTGAGATGCATCTATGAAACATAAGGTGTCATCAACAAATTGGAGGATGTTGACTTTTTCCTCCCTTGGGGAAATTGCAAACCCTTCCCACAACCAGATTCAGCTGCTGACTGAAGAGAGATAGGATTTCAGCAATACAAATAAAGAGCAGAGGAGAGATGGGATCTCCTTGCCTAAGCCCTCTGGAGCTCTCAAAGAACCTGCTGATTGTCCGTTTATCAGGATGGAAAATTTTGGGGAAGACACACAGACTTTCATCCAGGCCTCATCAAACATGTAACAAATCACTTTTTCTAATTGGAGCTGTTGATGGTCTTCTATTGCTCTATACACATGACCAAACCATCTTAGTCTACTTTCTTTCATTTTATCACCTATTGAGCTACTCCTAGGTACCTAGGAATGACTTCATTCCTGTTCCTATCGTTTCTAGTTTTAACATTCATCCATTTTAGCATTCACATTTTTTCCACACTCATTTTTTGGATATCTTGTTTCTTGACTGCCCAACACTCTGCTCCTTACAACACAGCTGGCCTTGCAACTGTCTTATAGAATTTTTCTTTTAATCAAAGTGGTATGTGCATATCACATAAACCCCTCCATTTTGCCCATCCTGCTCTATAGTATAAAATCATTTTTTTTTGTGTAAGGATAAAGATTTTGAGACCCAAACATGGACTTGTTTGGGCTTGACTCGAGGGGCTTGGCACAATGGCGACTCATAGAATCAAGAATGCAAGATGCTTTACATCACGTTAGCTATTTGAAGTAATGCAATTGAGGAAGAAAAGAAATTGTGGGTTTTACATGCTTGAAAATGTTTTATATGTTTGATTTTATTTTTAAATTTTAATTTGAATATGTTTTACATGATGCTTATGTATTTTAATTTTAGATAATAGGTTTTTTAAATATTTATTTTGAAATTTAAGTTTATGTTTTTATTAATATTATGTTAATTTTCTTTTAATTTTTTACATTTTTTGATTTTTTTTTTTTGTATTTTTATGCCTTGTTCGAAAAGGCATGCATGCCTTGCGTGCGTTTTTTTTTATTGCACTTTTAAGCAACTGGCTGGAAGAAGAGTTGAACATGATGTTTAAAGAGTTTCATAGGGACAAAGTGTTGGAGAGGATGGTTAGTGCTACTTTTATTTCCTTGATCCCAAAAAAGGATGGTGCTGTAGAATTGAAGGATTTTAGGCCAATAGGCTTGATTAGCAGTCTGTATAAATTGTTAGCCAAGATGTTATTGAAGAGACTTAGAAAAGTGTTGCATGAGGTGGTGGGTGTATCCCAGTCCCAAATGTCTTTTGTGGAGGGTAGACAGATCCTAGATGGAGTTTTAGTGGCAAGTAAATGTATAGATTCGAGATTGAGGAGTGGAAGGCCGGGCTTGGTTTGTAAGATTGATACTGAGAAAGCCTATGATCATGTGTAATGGGGTTTTTTAGAAGAGATTCAATGATTTATGGGATTTGGAGAGAAATGGAGAAGTTGGTTGTTTGCATGAATGCCCACAGTTTYTTTCTCAATCCTTAAATGGAATGTCTTTGGAGTTCTTCCAAGCATCAAGAGGTCTTAGGCAATGGAGCCCAATTTCTCTTATGCTCTTTGTGCTGGTCATGGAGATGTTGGATTTGCTGTTGGGGAAGAGTAGTCAGTTGGGTTTGATTGAAAGTTTCAAGGTGGGCAGAGATGGGCCATGTATCTCCCATTTGCAGTACGCAGATGATACCTTCATTTTTCTGGTTGCATCAGTGGACCAGGTTCTAAATTTGAGAGCAATTCTAGCAAATTTCGAGTTTCTAATAGGGATGAAGGTGAATTTGCCCAAGAGTGTGTTGATTAGAGTTGGGGAAGTTGAAAGATAAGTTATCTTGGAGTGTGCAAAGGCCTTTGAGTGTAGAATTTGGGAGCTCCCTTTCTCTTATTTGGGGATGCTGATTGGGGGAATTTCAAACACAAATACTTTATGGAGACCAATTCTAGAGAGGATTGAAAAGAGGTTGGATGGGTGGAAAGCAAAATACCTTTCCTTGGGTAGGGGGTGAATAACTCTAATTAAGAGTGTTCTCTCAATCTTACCAACTTATTATATGTCACTATTAAAGATACCACCAAAAGTAGCTGAAAGAGTGGAGAAGATTCAAAGGGATTTCTTATGGAAAGGTGTGGGAGGGGGTAAGAAGCTTCACTTGGTAAAATGGGAAAAGATGTGCATACCAAAGGAGAGGGGTGGGCTGGGTTCTAGAAGGGTGAGGGTGTTCAATAGGGCTTTGACTTGTTAGTGGCTATGGAGATTTGGTTTAGGGAGGGAGGAAAACTCACTACGGAGGAGAGTGGTGGCTGGGAAGTATGGGGTGGTTATGTTTGGGTGGAAGACAGGGGAGGTTAGATCATCTTATGGGGTGAGTGTTTGGAAAGGGATTATGAAGTTCAATTGGGAATTCAAAAGCTTAACAAGTTTCTTGGTAGGTGAGGGAGCAAGAATTAGGTTATGGGAGGATGATTGGTGTGGGGTTGACAAGCTGAGTGAGCTATATCCAAGGTTGTATAGGCTGGTCGGGGCTGAAATTTCTATTTTATTAGTAATTGTTATGAAAGACTTGGGGGGGGGGCAGTTGGTTTGGTATCTGAAGTTTAGAAGACCTGTCTGGATAGGGAAGTCGATGAATGCATTGCTTTGCTGGAGAATCTAGATAGGGTGAAACTTTCAGATCGATCAAGAGATGGATTGTGGTGGAATGAATGTTCAAATGGGAAATTTTCCATGAAATCCTACTACCTTGCTCTATCTAGGGACAATTCAAGCTTTAGATCAAATTGGAGTTGTATGGGTAAACTCGGTTCCTCCCAGGGTTGAAGACTTTGCATGGTTAGTGGAAATTAGGGGTGGATGCAAGCTGAGCCGAGCTGAATACTTGGCTATTCGAGCTCGTCTCGCAGAAATGGTGTTAGGCTCAAGCTTGAGCTCGACTTGAGTAGAGACTTGAGCTCGAGCTCGACTCGGTTCAAAAGCTCACAAGTTTGAGCTCAGCTTGGCTCGACTCGATCTCGACTACAAGCCAAGATTTTTCTAAAAAATAAAAATTATAGATATAAAAATAATTTTTATTATACATAAAAAATTAAGAATTATGAAAATTATTTATTATTATACATACAAAAAATAATTATAAAAGTTATTTACTATTATACATAAAAAATAAAAATATTATTATATATAATTAAAATGATTTATTATATATTTATATTTATATTTATGTATGTATATATATATATATATATTATAAATTACTTATTTATTATACTAGGCTCGATTAGGCTTGTAAGCCTCACAAGCCAAGCTTCACTAGGCTCAAGCTCGGCTCAATTAGCAAACGAGCCTAGATATCGGGCTCGAGCTTTGCTCGAAGCTCGGTTTAAACTGAGCCGAGCTGATCTTTTCATGAGTTGAGCTCGAATAGCTCGTGAGAAGCTCGGCTTGTGGCCACCCCTAGTGGCAGTGGACAACATTTTGACAGTGGAACACCTGAAATTGAGAGGTTTTGATATGGCTAACATGTGCTTTTTTTGTAGAGTGCGGAAGGAAAACATTTGCCATTTGTTTTTCTCATGCAAGACTGCTGTTTTTATTTGGAGTTTGTTCACAACCATGTTTGGGGCTAGAGATTTTCATCCAAGATCACCTGCAGATTTATTTATTTTTTCTTCCTGACCAAAGATAAGAGGATGCAAGAAAGAAAAAATAAATTGGAACTGTATCCCTTTTGCAATATGCTGGAATATCTGGAAGGAAAAGAACTGAAGAATTTTTGAAGACAAATCTTTGTCAATGGACCGGCTAGGGGTGATTGTCAGCAAATCTATTGCTGAGTGGGTGCTGATTTTACTAGATTTTGAACAAGTTTCTAGGGAGGATCTTGGGGAAGTGTTGGGGTCTCAATTGTGTAATTTGGAAAACCTTATATGATAAGTTGTAGATTTCTGTTGTTTTCTTATTTTTGTTCCTCTATCCTTCCAAAATTCTCCCTATTCCACTCCTTTATCTTGGATCTCAACCTCTTCAGATTTTTGTGAAGCCTTACTCCCTTCCATTTCACCCCCTCAACTCTTAATTCCAGCACTCCCCCAACTTTACGCACAAAATCCGGGTGAGTTAATCTCATATTTTCAAATCTAAAAGGGTCATGGTCCAAACCCTGGAGGTTCAGGGCCTAATTGGATTGGGCAATGATCAGAAGTAACTCTGGGTAGAGCTCTAGCCACTAAACCCTTCCAATGATTCTTCCACTCTACATTTATGTAGGAACCTATCTAGTTTTGAAGAAGAGAGGGAAAAGAACTGAAATGTCTGAGTCTATCAATGGATAGATCAACACTTTGGACTGTTTGCAAAAGAAAAGACCTTTCATGTGTTTTTCCCCTAATTGGTGTTTGGTGTTGGATCTTTGCCTTGTTTGGATGCAGGTGGAACCTAACCACAGTTGTAAGTCAGCTGTTTGATCCGTCCTTTTTTGTGTGGCCTACAGAAAAGGTAGAATCATGTAGAAATGCATTCGAGCAGCTGCACTGTGGACAATTTGGGAAGAAAGAAATGCAAGACTTCCAAGAAAAGGGAAAGAAACCTTCAATCTGTTAAGGGTTGCATTCTGGCTAGTGCTATCCCTTGGTTTAGAACTTTGGGTTCTTTTCAAAGCTTTTCCTTTGATGATATTTGGAGGAACTGGATAGTCGTGGCTAATAGTTCTACAAGGAAGGATTGGACACCAGCAGTGTGGTTTCCTCCTTTTGATGGATGGGTAAGGTTGAGTTTTGATGGAAGTAGTCAAGGTAACACAGGCCCTTCAGGTTTAGGAGGGGTGATGAGAGACAAAGACAGCAACATTCTAGCCTTATTCTCAGCTCCAGTGGGAATAGGAGTCTCTAACAGAGTTGAATTGCTAGTGGATGTACAAGGTATTCAGATAGCATGCCAACTAGGAGTGCAGAATCTGGTAATTGAAGGACACTCCAAAGTTATTATGGGCTGGTTTACAAATCCAGGTTCAGTGATATGGTGTTACAGGGATCTTTTGAGGATAGCTAATTGGTTATTGTTAGAAAAAAAAAGCTATTCAAGGACCTCACTTAACAGCTTAAGCTTTTAGGTTGAATGGTTCTGTCAGATGGTATCAGAGCCACTTTGATCAAGTGGTCTAGTGTTCGATTCTTGTCACCCCATTATAATTAATTAAGTTTCAGCACAAGGTATGGATGGGCCTCTGCTGTCCACACTTCAAGCCCAATGGGATTTCGTGTGAGGGGGCATGTTAGAGAACAAAAGCTATTCAAGGACCTCACTTAACAGCTTAAGCTTTTAGGTTCAATGGTTCTTTGCGAGTTATCAAGGAACATGAATGTCACCTCACATTGGGTGTGCAGAACGGAAAATGCTTTAGCTGATTGTCTAGCTAAGCAAGGGGCCTCAAGGGACCAGTTATATTGGGCTGCTCTGTATTTTTTTTGTCTTTGCTTTGATGTAAATATCACTTCTTAGGAGAGGTAAAATCTCATGCCTCTCAAAGGGCAGCTTGTAATGCTTTCACTATTAGATCTATTTGATAATAAAATTATGTTTGTCTATCAAAAAAAAAGGATGGTTGCTTGGGTGCTGGTTCTTCTAGAATTTGAAGGCCTCAGGAAAGAAGACTTTGGATCTGACTTTAGGCGCACTTTAAATGCATGATTAGGCTTCTTGTATTGTGGATTATGTTTCTTGCATGTTGGAATGGTGAATTCATCATTTTTTCTTGTTTTTTTTTTTTTTTTTGTTTTCTGGGGGTGACTCCTTGTCACCTATGGTTGATGTATTTTCTCATAATAAAATTTTCTTCTTTATTTATCTTAAAAAAAACTCAAAGATGCTAGTTTTCTGCCCACCACTGTTCCAATTTAAGTTTATGGAAGAAGATGATTCATATATCAGTCTTCTAATCATTTGATTACCTAATTTCCTGATGACTTACACAGCAAATGTTTTTGTTCTTTCTGTTTTCCTTTTTTTTTTAATTCATATAGTGATGTTTTGCCACTATAAGAAGAAAGTTTGTTTTGAATCTGGTTAATTGACGCAATCTAAATACAGTGCTGATTTCTAAACATCATATTTATCCAAATCTTCTTTTCCAGGGTTACATACAGTGATCTCTGCCTTCAGATACCTGAATCCAAGTTTAGACAATGTTTATTAAGCACATTGAGTGTGCTATTTAAGTTGATGTCTTCATATTATGCGATTATGAGCTTTCAGCCTGATAAAAATGTAAGTAGAGCTTCACGTATGTGGTGTATGTTTGATTTAGCAATTTTGTTCTTCCACAGTGATGGTTTTTTATACACTCTTTGGCATGTTAACTATGATTCTTTGTTGCTTATGACTAAATTTATGCCACTATTTTTTTTTACACTCTTGGCGCACAATGATCCAAGAAAACCTTCAAATCTAAGTTCCCTTGCACAAGCTCCATTAGATTATACAGATACACAAGATCAAAATTGCTCGTGTATTCTCAATTTCCAGCCTACCTGAATATTTGATACTTAATCCATAAAATATGTTCATTGAATTCCATAAAGTATGCAATATAATCTTCAAAATTCCTGTCGTTGAACTTATATCTGAAACTTGATTCGATACTGATTTCAATCTCTCTATAGAGCATGATTCATGATGCTGCTACAGAGAAGATAGATTGTTAGCTTGAAAAGAACCTCCCTGCTTTCTTGAATTATATCTTAAATACTTTATGTTAATTCTTTCAACAACTCAGGCTTTCATGGTTCTGATACCATGTCACCCTTTTCTAGGTTTCATACCAGCAAGAAAGAGAAAGAAGTGCTTTAGGAGGTATATTCGAATGAATACTCCCACCTCCAAAGGGTAACTTTTATTAAGAGGGAAAAAGCTATTTACAAGTACAAAAGTGCCCTTTTGTTGATATTTACAGACTACAAACTACAAGTATCCCATCCTATTATAATAGGACAAGAGAAAATACAAAAATAAATAAAATAAATAACATTTCTATTTACAAATCTGTCCACAGACATTTCTTTTTAACTTAGGTTGTTCTGTGATTCCTTCAGTAGAGCCTTTTGTTTGCTTGAGCCTCTTTTAGATCTGAAGTTCGGCAGCCTGTTATTCTTGTTATTTTTTTTTTGGTGGGGGTGGAGAAGCCTTTTGTATGTTGCTCTCTTGTTGATCTGAGGTTTGACAGTCTCTTTTTATTAGCTGGGGTGCAGAAATTCTTTTTACTTTTTTGTCTCTTTTTGCAAGGGTGTACCTTTTGTCTTCTTTTTTCTTTTCTTTTTTCAATATAATTTCTTGTAATGGATAAAAAATTCTTTGGTCTTTTTTTTTCTGAGAAAAGGTAAAGTATTTCATTAAAAAATTCTTTGATCTTGTTAGCAATAAAAAAAGTGTTATCAATAAGGATAAGGTCAACGTTGCGTGAGATTGTGGGTCCTACACAAATGCCATTTGTGGAAGGTAGACATTCTGGATTGAGTGTTTATAGCAAGTGAGTGTGTGGATGCAAGAATAAGAAGTGGGGCGATGGGAGTGATTTGTAAGATACTTATTGAGTGTAGAGTGGGGCTTTTCGGAGGAGGTGATGTCTAGTATGGGTTTTGGTGAGAAGTGGAGAAGCTGGATCTTTGTTTGCATATCTTCAGTGTCTTTTTAATTTGTACGGAGAATTAACAGCATTCTTTTAAGTTATTTGGGGGTTAAGACAAGGCGATGCATGTCTCTTATGCTATTTGTGTTAGTGGCTAAGCATAGTGTTCAACGAAGGTGTGGAAGCAGGTTTGATACAGGGTTCAAGATTGGAAGAGAAGGTTTAACTGTCTCCCATCTTCAATATGCTGATGCCACTTTAGTTTTCTTGGATGCTTTGGTAGAACAAACTTTGAAATTGAGAGCTATTCTTTTTTTTTTGGTAATAAAAAAAGAAATTTTATTGAAAAAGGGAAAATCTATGATGTGGGAAAGACATGGTATCAGAAGAGTTTTGACCAATCAAAACCCACCCATGAATTTTGATAAATAACACCTGATTGGCTACCACATTTATGATTCCAGTTGACGGTCAGAAGCTTTTTAGATATCACATCTTTCCGATATCATAGTTGAACCCATTGAAAAAAGAAAAAGAGAAAGCACAAGGAGGGTGACAAGAAATTGCCCACAAAGAGGAGAAAAACTTAAAACCCCAAAAGCCAAAAACCCTCCAAACCCCTTGAAGCACAAACAATTCTTCCCTTTCTCTTAGTCCTTAAAATCAAACACCCATACTACCAAAATCCACTGCCCTCAAGGATCAAACTGAACCCATCCATACAGCTTCCATTACCTTTTCCAGGTCCATCTTTTTTTTTTTTTCCAAAATTTCCAACTTGATCAACAATGACCTCCTCACCTTCTCCTTCAGTCTCTTCTTCTATTTCATCTCCCTCCCTCAGAAGAGGCTTCTCTGTATTGCTGATGTGGATAGAAAAACGAATTACATGCAGCACTTCAAGTATACAGCAATAAGCACAAGAAATACCAAGCTGAAAACAACAAAACAAGTTGATTTTTTAGAGATTTCAGACCTGAACTTGAAGAGGGATTGGTAAGAATTGGGATTTCAACTTTTCTTTCATTCTTCCCCAAGAACTAACCTTTCTTTGTCCCTTTGGTAATTTTTCCACCAATCCAAGGCTGTCCCACATATCTTTGCCATTACAAGCTTTACTTTTCTTTTTTCAATCATTTCTTTCCAATCAAAATAATTTTCAATGCTGTCCAACTAGACTAGAAACTCTTCAGGTTCCAATTCACCATCAGACTCATTAATATGAAGTTGAACACCATGACCTTGGTTGGATTGTAAAGCTTGCAATATTTGATCTTCCCATCGTTGGTTGTTATTCCTTTCATGTTGATCACCTTTTGGTTGCTCAATGTCTTCACTTGATTCTTCACTAATAATGTCAGTGGGCTGTTCATCAACTCTGGGAGCTTGTTTTCTTCTTTCTATCCCCAAATCACTTGCTACGTCATCATCCATAGAAGCATTTTGAGCTACAAGTTGAGCAAGATGCTCAATCTGTTCTTGTAGCCTCTTATGGCCTCTTGGAAAGCCTCTACTGTGACATGTTGTGGTCTTCTACCACCCCTATCATGTCCACCCCTTGCAGCCATAATAATATAGCAAAACACAAGGAGATGAACTTTGAAGCAAACCCGAGGAAAGAACGTGTTCTGATACCACTTAATGTGGACAGAAAAACAAACTACATGCAACACTTCAAGTATACAGCAATAAGCACAAGAAATTCCAAGCTGAAAACAACAAAACAAGTTGGATATTTAGAGATTTCAGTCTTGAACCTGAAGTAAAACTCCTCCTGTAAAATTCTGCTACAGTAACAATGGCAGCAAGCTAGCCTCCCACGCGGATACGCAGCGATAGTTGGATTGGAAGGTGCCAAAATGGGTCAGCTCCTCGAAACTCAAGCTCCCAATACTTGAAAACCCTAGCTGGGGCTGAGCTACATCTCAAACAAAAGAGAACCCCAAAAAAGACCCCTATAGAAACAACCCCTTTCTCTTTTATAAGACCCAATGGCTTGTTGGAGAAGCCAATTAAAATATTTACACATAAGCCCCTAGAATGTTTCCCTCTCACAAGCAACTCCTTAAGAACAAAACCAACTTCAAATGAACCCCCGAAAGATAACTTTTGTTACAAAAAACCCAAGAGACCAAAACCCAATAGATTTGCACCCAACTGCCCCTGGCCAGAATCTGAATTATAAAATGACGAAAATACCCCTGGTCTGAAACTGTCGACAAAGCTACCCAAAAACAACAATTTGGGGTCCTACTACAAAAACATGCAAAACAGAATAAATTCACTTTTTTTTCCTCTTTTTTTCTTTTACTTTTTTTTTGCCTCATCAATTGCTCAGTTTAAGTTGGAGTTTGTGATGGCTGTGGGTTGTTTTAGTGGGTGAATCTGCACTATCATATTTGAGCTTTCCAATTGATGTAAAAGCTTCTGTGCCCTGAACTTGGCAGCCGGTTTTAGATAGAATTGATTGGCTGGGTGGGAAGGGAATTTTTATCATTTGGAGGTTGATTACTTGAATCACTGTAGTCAAGAGTGTTCTTTCTAATCTACCTATTTACTATTTGTCCTTGCTCAAAAATCCTGGCCGGTGTAGCATAATGAATTGAAAGGATGCAGTTTGGAGTTCTTGTTGAATATTACGGTGATGGAAATATATCATTTGGCTAAATGAGAGTGGGTGTGCAGGGCTAAGAACGATGGTGATTTGGAGATTCATTGGGTAGGCTTCTTAACAAAGATTTGCTGGGGAAATGGTTGTGGAGGTTTGGGGTTGAAGAGTCATTTTTGAGAAGAGTTACTGCTTGCAAGTATGGTGTGGTGTGATTAGTTTTGGCTGGGATTCCAAGGAGGTGACATAATCTTTTATAGGGTGGTTGTATGGAAAGAGATCATGAACTTTCATATGCCCAAGGGTTTATAGGTTAAGTGGGAAAAATGTCTCAATTGTCCAATGCTTTGAAGTAAATCAAGGTTCTATGATATGGTGCCCTACTTTTAGAAGACCACTTCTGGATGGGTAAGTGGAGGATTGTTTAAAGTTATTGACTAAACTACAAACAGTTGAGCTGTGGCTGGACGGATCAGATTCAAGAAGGTGGAAAGATTGTAAGGATGCTGTTTTCTCAGTTAAATCCTTTTTCAAAGCTTTAGCAATGAATCAGGTTGAGAAGACTCCAATCATGGGATTCCTCCTAGAGCTGAAGCCTTTGGTTGATTGGTAGCATTAGACAGCATTCCGAGTCGAGATCATTTAAAGCGGAGAGGAATTCAACTAACTGCTAGGTGTTATTTTTGCGAGTTGGAGTGGGAGTTTGAATGTTACTACACAAATTTGGTATGGGAATTAATTATCAAAAAAAATTGTATTGGGATTTTTCTTCAAACTTTTTGGTTTTGAGCTTTGGTCGCCAAGATCTTCCAAAGAAATTTTTTTTTTTCATCTTGGCTGGTGCTATGTGGGAATAAGAAAGCAAAAATTATGTGGTCTTGTGTTCCTTTCGCAGTTTGTCGGGAAGTGTGGAAAGAAAGAAATAGAAGAACCTTTGAAGTAAAGGCAAGGCAGGAGGTTAAGTTTTATTCTATTGTTGGGAAGAGGATCTTGGATCTGGGTTTTGATTTTACAAGGTTTATTGGGAGTCTGAAAAGATTGTTTTTGTTAAGGTTTTTGATCATTTTAGAATTAGAAGCAGATTTGTTATTGGTGCTCTAGAATAACATAATCTGTCTGCACCTGGCTTGTATTTGTTGTAGTTTCCACACCATCATTTTTGAGCTCTACAACATAATTTTGACCACTTTTTTTTACTGATATATGTTTTATATTGCATATGATTGGGTCCTTGCTAGTTCTTTAGAACTATTTGCATCTATTCTTGAGTTTTTTTATTTTTTATTTTTTACTTTCTTTGTTGTGGATGCTCCATCTTTGTTTTGTGTCATGGTGGTTTCTTGGCCTTCCATTGTTTTATAACATTTTGTATGTGAAGTTGTTTTCTCCTTTGGGTATTTCTCCTGATTCATTGTTTCTATGATGTATGTATTTTTCTTGGAATTTTCACCTCATTGTTTCAGGAATCAGAACATCAGCCCTTGAATAAGCAGAAGCAAAGTGACACTTCTGGATTTTCAGATGTTTCAATAGCAAGAACTTCAAGTAATTCCCAAGAAGTTGATGTTTCTCTATCTGAATCCATGGACAGAATGCTGGTTTCATCCTCGGAGGTAGAATCTAGAAGTACTTCGTCTGTGAATGAATTGACTGGGACCACTGGGTTCACATCCTCAGGTACTCAAGAACTAATTTATGAGGCAAGAGATGGTGGCAGTACAACATCGAGCAGTGGTTCCCCATGGGATCAGCTGAGGGAAGATTCTATTGCATTTGTTGCGCAGACATTACAGAGAGGGCGAAAGAACCTTTGGCAACTTACAACAAGCCGTGTATCAGTATTGCTTTCTTCACCTTCTGTTTGCTCAATAAGTGTGCACCAATTCTTAAGGAATTATGAGGATTTAAATGTCTTCATCTTAGCGGGAGAAGCTCTTTGTGGAGTTGAAGCACTAGAGTTCAGGCAGAAATTGAAGATTGTTTGTGAAAATTATTTTGCAGCCTTTCATCGGCAAAATATATATGTATGCCAGCTTCATTATTCATTGTTATTTAATTGTTTGCATGCGTTCTTCACAAACACTTCATATCTTTGCTTTTTCCCAATTATTTATATCAATATGTTATCATGCTCCAGCACTAAGCATATTGTTTTCTCCAGATAAAACTTAATGATGCAATTTGTGTTTCTTGAAAGGAGAAGAAGAAACAACAGAGAAAGGATATAGTTGAGGCAATCATGGTGAGTGGTGGTGCCCCACTCTTACATATATATTAGGGTGTCATAAAGTGAGATAGAATTACAAGTGTACCCTTGGTTACACTAAAAGTACACTTGATAATATAAAACCACTCTAACACACTTCCCCTTCAAGTTGGGTTGTATATATCTATCATCCCCAACTTGTTACAAAGATCAACATGTCGAGTACTAGTTACACCCTTGGTGAAGACATCTCCTAGCTGATTATTGGAATTCACACAAGGAATGCAGATTTCTTCACTCTCAGATTTCTCAGGGATGAAGTTTTTGTCCACTTTCAATGTGCTTTGTCCTCTCATGATCACTAGTTCACTAGATTGTGAACAATGTTGAATGTTACCTTGTTGTTGTTGCAGTAAAGTGATATTGGCCTAAGAATCTTAAATCCCAACTCAGCCAGAATATTCTTGAGACAAAAAATCTTTTCCACACCATGTACCATGGCTCTATACTCGCCTCAGCACTTGATCTTGCAACCACTGTCTGCTTTTTACTCCTCAAAATTACCAAATTATCCCTAACAAATGTGTAGTAATTTTTTGTAGATCCTTTCTTCCATTGATCCAGCCTAATCAACATTGTTATAAGCTTCCACTCTTAAGTGTCCATTCTTGGAAGAAAGAGTACCTGTCCCAGGATGTTTCTTCATGTATCTAAGAACGTTCTTTGTTGCAGAAAGATGGGAAGTCCTGAGTGAATGCATGTACTGGCTAAACACCCCAAATACATATGCTATGTCCAGTCTGGTCATGGATAAGTATAAAAGTCTACTAATAAGCCTCTGAAGCTGCCTCACATCAAAAAGTGGCTGATCACCACTTTTCTCATTGAGAGTGTTAGTTGGTTTAACTCCTAGTTTATCGGTGTCCTTAAGAAGATTTAAGATGTGCTTCCTCTGGGAAATGAAGATGCCTTATTTGATCTTGCAACCTGAATTCTTTAATTTCTGTATATTTGACTCCCAATTCCTCATGATAATAATATCATCCTCACTCACTTAGCACCTCTTTTTTTTCCAAGAATTTAATTAAAATTATAGTGGGGGATGGTGCTAGAATAAAATTTTGGGTAGATGATTGGTGTGGAGTTGGTAAAGAGTGAGCTATGCCCAAGGTTATATGTGTTGGCTGACCATGAAATCATAATCAGTCAATGCTATGAGATGAGAGGGGATCAGTTGATTTAGAGCCCTAAATTCAGAAGGCCCCTCTTCTGGACAGGGAGGTGGAGGAGTGTATCAGGTTGCTGGGTGTGCTTGAAAATTTGAAAGTTCTTCAAGGGATGAACTTTGGTGGAAGGAGTGCAGGGATGGGAGGTTCACTATGAAGTTCTTTTATTCTGCTTTAATAAGGTCACAGTTGGATGGAAGTTAATGTGTAGGTGTGTGGGGAAAACCTATTCTTCCAAGAATGGAAGCCTTTGTGTGGTTGGTTGTTATGGTGAATGTTTTAACAACAGATCACTTAAACAACAGGGGTTTCAAGTTGGCCAATGTTTGTTATATGTGAAGAGCAGGATGAATCCGTCTTTCACTTGTACGTCCCCTATAAGATTGCTGGTTTTTGTTGGAATTTCTATTCAGTTCTTTTCAGTCTGCAAGTTTTTCAGCCAAACCCTGGCAGAAATCTTAGGAAGTAAAAAGGCTAAGGTGGTGTGGAGTTGCATTCTATTTTCTATCTGTTGGCCATCTGGAAAGAGAGGAACAAATGGGTGTTTGAAGACGAGCATTGGAAGATTGAAAGGATTGTTGCAGTCCCTGAGTAGATTGTAATTTTCTTTTTTTTTGATAAGTAAAAAGGAAAATTTTATTAAAGAAAAGAAAAGGCTGAATACAACCAAATGATAGGTGTTAAGATAACTCCTCACAATCGACAAAAAAAATCCCACCTATACTTGAACAAGCTTCAGAAAAAAAAATGAGCTCGAAAGAAACCAATCTTGCACAAATACATCACCAACTACAAATCTCCAACGGGACATTAATCTTTAACCTCTCTAAACTCTTCCAGACCTCCTTCCTCATCCCATATTTTTCCTCCTAGCACTTCAGAAGCCTCCCTCATACTTTCTTCCTTCCTCTTCCATTCATAGTGTTCAAAGGCTCTCCTCACAAAAGTCTCACCTCCCAAAAAGAATAAGCCCAGAGACTTGCAAACTTCCACCTTTTTATCAACTAATTTCTTCAAATCCAAGCTTCCCTTCTTCATCTCCTTCTCCTCTGGAATCACATCCATAGATACCTCAAAGCATTCATTTTCATCCCTGCAAGCCTTCTCCTCTAACACACCAAGCTTTTTCAGCTCTTTCCCTTGAGGATTTGCCAGATCACTTTCCTTCCCACCACCATCCTGCAGACTAATAGTTCTAGTTTTTTCTCCTCTTCTTTTACAAATTCTCCTTTTTCTTGTAATGAACATTTCTTTTTACAATAAAAAAACAATGTCATCATTTTATATCAACATAGCTATCAAATTACCATTTCTCTTAACAAAGATGATCACTCTAGCACTACTTAAAACCAACCTACTTGACCACATTATTAACCTAAAAAGCTAGGGGTGTTCATGGTCCGGTTTGGAGAAGATGTTAAACCAAACTAGTAAATTACAATTTGAGAATTTTACAGACCAAACCAAACCATTTTGGCATGTAAACCAAACTAGACCAAACCATTTTATTATGGTTTGGTGTGGTTTCTAATATGGTTTAGGGACTTTGGGCCATTCTATGATTCTATCGGGCTTAACCCAATTAGAAAGCCCAAATATCACCCCTAAAAGTTAAAAATTTATACTTTTTATTATTTTATTATAAAATATCAGAGTTTATTATATATTTATAATTTTATACATTCAGTTTAGATATTATATATAATATTATATTTATACATTACATATTTATATAATTATTTATTATATATTTTATTTCAGTTTACAATTTACAGTTTGGTTTAGTTTATAAAATCCAATAAACCAAACCGAAATCGTAAACTGCAATTTAGGGAAACGTCAAACTGAACCAAACTAAAAATTCGGTTTGGTTTGGTTCGTTTTTGTGGTTTGGACCATACAATGAACACCCCTGTAAAAAACAAGCTCTGGGAGATTGTTTTAACCCTACAAAGATATCTTGAGACAAATAACCTTTCCTTCTATCTCTTTAGTGCAAAAACTTGGGGGCTGAATCATATATACTTCCTCAACATCACCATTTAGAAAAGCATTTTTGACATCCATTTGGCGTAAATGCCAATATGAACAACAAGGGAAAGGAGCACATGGATGGAGTTTGTCTTTGCAACAAGAGAAAACATCTCTATATAATCAACTCCATGTGTTTGAGGACCAATCTAGCTTTATATACTTCTCTATTGAACCATCTACCCAATGCTTAATAGAGAGCACCGACATACATCCTATAGGTTCTTTACCTTTAAGATGGTCTACCAAACCCCAAGTGTTGTTCTTGTGAAGGTTACTGATTTCCTCTAGTTGGCGTTCTTCAACTTAGGAGATTCTAGGGACTTTGCAACAGATTTAGGGATAGAAACATTTGAAACAATAGATAAGAAAGCACGGTGTGAAGGGGATATGTTATTACAAGTGGTGAAGTGACTGATAGGATGCTTAGTAGTGCATGACCTTTACAAATGGCGATGGTAACATCAAGGTCACAAACTGGGTCACAAGAAGGAATAATACTTGGCTCAACGGGACATGCACTACTCTTCAAGTTTGCCTCATGAGAATGCACAATGTAAGCTGGTCCCTCTGGCTATGAGGTCCTGAACTGAGTACATTCTGACTTCCAGATACTCCTGAAATGACAGTCTTCAGTAGCTAACTTTATCCTTGGATGATGGAACCACTACAAACCAACAAGAGACACCACTTATTAAGAACTGCACCTAACATCAACCTGCAGTTCAATAAACAGCAGTAAAGAGAACCCTTTCTTCAGTTACAGCCACCGAGAAACAATTTAAAAGGTCCAAGAAAAAACCCTTATACCATCTAGAAAGGAGACACTCTTCTTGTTTGTGCTGAAGATAGCTGTCCAAGAAAAACTTCGAGCAAAAAAAGAAACAGCAACTGGCTGTCTACTACCACAGTCAATAGATAAACCAATAGTAAGCAGTAATAAAAAACCTCTAGCATCAACTAATCTTCATGCCAAAATGGGTACATTCAGTAGATCAACATAGGCTGAAAAGGAAAGTTGACATACAACAACCACCAGGCTGAAGTGATATTAGACCAGAATCATCAAGAAGATACCTCCTTCAAACCCTTGGACCTCCATTCACAGTATGAGTAGACACCCAAAAGATTGAGCTTTTGGTACTATGACCAAAGGAAGAGAAAGAATAGGAAGAACTGCCTTACCCAATCATCCCTATTCCAGATTTAGTAAGTTCCACCTTTTTCAGAGAAAGAATAAGAGAGAAGAGTGTTGCATGAGCTTCAGATTCCTGTCAATTACTGCACTGATAACATATAGTTTGAATGAAAGGAAAGGAGAAGAAGAAACATCAGAGAAAAGGACAGAGATTGAGGCAATCATAATGAGTGACGGCACCCCACTGTGACTTATATATTAGGGTGTCTTAAAGTGAGGTAAAATTACAAGTCTACCCTTGGTTACACTAAGAGTACATTTAATAATATAGAACCACTCTAACAACAGACTCATTCCGTGAGATGCTAAATTTCAGCTGAGTTACAACTAGGAGAAAGCCATTGCAAGAATTTTCTCCAACAAAATTCAAATTCTGGTGGCACTGATTAAGTTCATCTCCATTTGAGTTATCAGTTGGGTAAGGATGTAGACGAGTTCTCAGTGTCTTTTATAGGTGAGATTATTAGTGGGTGGCAAATTGTAGACTTGTCATCAACAAGTGACTTTAGGGTCATTGCTTTGCTTTCTCTTCTTCCTAATCAGATAAAAAAAAATTTGATCCCTGCACTAATGGAAACCTTGACAACTCATGTATTGGTGGGTCTTTTAGAGATTGTAAGGGGGATATTTTATATTGTATTCAGAGTACACTGGTGTTGGGAAATTAATGAGAAAAAATGCTACCTATACTTTGAAGCCTTAAGATCAGGCAGATCCTTGGGCTTATGGGACTTACTAGTAGAAGGATGCTCATGGACAGTTATCAATTAGCTTAGAAATGGAGAAGATGGTCCTTGGCAACTTGAAAATCATCTCAGGGAGGCTATGACTTTGCTCCCATCTTAATAGTTAAGCTTTGCATTGGGCGATTATCCCTTGCGTTAGTGTTGTTTCTGGTTATCCTGGTTTTGATTGTTTATGTGGGGAGAGTGGCACTGTAGCAGTGGGGAGTAGCTCTCTTTTCTTATCTAGGTGAAAGCTGATATCTTTGGTTGTATTATTATGCCTATCGCTATTCATTGTTTCTATTTTAATGGGATCCTGATCAGTTACTGATCCCAAAAAAGCAGAGAAAATAAAAATTGATATAGGATAAATGGGAAACTTAATTTTATTGAACAGTTGTAGGCACTGGTATGTAGATGCAAAAATAAGCTATTTAAAGGAAGGGCTAAGTACCTAGGGTTTCAATATGAAAGATAATGATTGTTATAGGAAAAATTTTTAAGTCTTAGCAAATTTGGACATGCATGAGAATGTGACTGGGTTAGTCCAGTAAATGCATCTTGTTGCAAAGTATACCTTGCTAGTTGGAGAATAGGGCAAAGAATTATATCATGTAAAAAAGAGAACTTTTCTATCCTTGTGAACTGCCTTTCTGAATTCCTGCTTTCCATCCCAATCTTGGAGGCATGAATACTATGTGCAAACCAAAGTTGATATTTGAGGGATGAAATTGGAGATTTATTCAGTGTGCCTTTTCCTGAAAGTTATTTTTTTTTCTTTGATAAGCACCTGGAAGAGAGAGAGAGAGTTTGAATCAACTTCTTGCTCCTGTGGATCAATTTCAAATTAGCTCTTGAAGAGGTTAACACACATTGTGATCTTGTCTTCTTAATTGATCAGCTTGTCATAGAAAATATATTCTATGGATTTTTTAAGTGCTTCCTTTTTTGGATTTCTAATCTTTACTTTTCAAATGTTCAAGCCATTCTCTTGTTTCTCTGCAAATGCCATGCTGATTTAAAAGTTTAGGTAAAATTCAATTTGGTTATCATTTCACTTAGGTTATAAGTTAATATCTGTGTGTTTGACATTTCTACAATAGAAGTCCATTACTTAACAAATATAATATAAATGGTCATATTGATCAATTTGTTTTGCATTTTTATACTGAACTCATAAGTTATAGTCTTCACACTACATTTCACTGTAGTTGGAGTATGACTAAGATTGTTTTGCCCTATCCAGGCACTGAAGATGGTTTTGGAGAAGGAGACTTGGCAGAAAATGTCACCGGATGCAGTACAATTTATTAGTTTAGCTGGGCTTGTGGGTGATGGAGCACCTTTAATTGTTCCATCTGATGGTCACTCTGCTAAGATTCGGGTGCTTCATCCCAAGAAATCTCCTGACCACATTGAAAGTGGTAACCAGGAAAATGGATTTGCTCATTGGCTTAAAGCTGGAAACCCTTTTCTGTTGAAGTTGAGCAATAGTTCCAAAGAATGCTTGAATTCTCCCTCACTGTCTAATGGCACAATGTCATCTGATGAAAAACTTATGGATATTTTACACAATTCTCCAAGAATTGGCAATTCTCCAAGAATTGGTGATGAACATGATATGCATCGCGATAGTCTTTCTGAAGATGAAAATGAAGATCTTCTTGCAGATTTTATCGATGAGGACAGTCAGCTCCCAAGTAGGATTTCTAAACCTAAATTTTCAAAAGGTCACTCTTCACATTGGAATGATGAAGATATTGCAACACAAACAGGATCCTCACTTTGTCTTCTAAGGTGGGATTCTCTGCATCTAGAGTTATAGGAACATTTAATTCTTCTATACATTTAGACTTTTTAAGCTGGAATGTTTCCATGTAAATAGGTTGATGGACAGATATGCAAGGCTAATGCAGAAATTGGAAATAGCTAACCTTGAGTTTTTTAAGGTATGTTCTAATTTGTTTGTTTTTTCCTTTTCCGTTCATTCCTTTCTTTTTATTTTCCTTTCTTGGCAATGATGTCATATCCAAGGCTGCTTTCAGCTTCCCTCCCATCTCTCTCATCCAGTAGTTTCTTACAGGGGATATGCCAATTGTTTGAAGTTTATTTCCATTTTATATTTGAAACATTTGGTCATCGAGACACATATCCTAGTGGAAAGGGCACGACAGACTCTCCATCTCGTGAGATATTTCGCTCTTTGATTTTCTTTTTCTATTTGCTAGTCCATTCTGCTATATGTTTTAAACATCACTTTATTTGGTATGCGTTATTGTGCCATTCAAGAAAATTCGTACATTCTCAGGATTATTCCTTTTACCCTGCCAGATCGGCTGAAGATGGCGATAGCTAGAATAACACTAGACTGTGATCAATGGATAAAACCCCACATGGTTTCATTTTCTTCCGCTTCATCAGCATCTTCAAACACAACTTTCTTGCAACTTGATGTAACACCTACTAGTCCTCCCAGCCATGTGCCAAATACTTCATTTGGACTGAAGGTATTCATTTAACATATATATATATATATTATATAGGGGTCTGAGCTGGAAAATTTATCGATATGACTGCTCCTCTCATCTGCAAGATTCTTTTGAAATTCATTTTATTGTAAGAAACTGTTAGGGTCCACGAAATCATATCATATCTTATTGATGCAAATGCATCAATTTTTTTGTGAAATGTATTGAATGAGAAAAAATAATTTTACAATTATTGCATTGTTCTTTCAAAATCTTGTAGCATATTCTTGTTCAATTTATGGTGGGAATGGGTGAACATTTTGTGAGTTGTGTAAAGTGGATCAACCTATCTCTATCCTTGAATAATTGGAACTTTCATCATCTTTGCTCTCTTTTATCCATGCTATTGCTAGTAAATCTGCACATGCTTTGCATGTGGCTTTTAAATGATGATGATATTAATAATTTGTTTCCAAAATTTTCAATACTTTTTCTATATTTCTATATTTCTATGTGTATAAAAATAATTCTTATTTATCACATTTTTTTTTGTTTATTATGATGAATATATGATATTAGAGATGTGCTTAAATGTTTCTACAAAATTTTTGTATTTTCCTAATTTTTGTGTTTTTTATCTTTTTAATTTTATTATTTTATTATGACATAATAAGTTAACACAATTGACCCAAAAGGTTGAACTATTGACCCACCACCAAAGTGGAAAACAATTCCTTTTTGGGGTCAGTTTTAAGTTTCACATTTTATTTCCATCATCAATAAAATTAATTCTTTATCACACACTTTTTGTCTTTAATATGATTAATATACAATATTAGAAATGTGCTTTAATATTTTCTACAAAAATATCTGTGTATTTCATCTTTTTTGTATTTTTTATGTTCTTTTTTAATTTTGATTATTTAATTATGATATCGGGGGTTAACACATTTGACCTAAAAGGTTAAACTGTTGACCCGCCACCAAATAGGAAAATAATTTCATGTTTTGGCTGGTTTTAAGTTTTGTATTTCATTTCCATCATCAATAAAAACAGTTCTGGTTTAACACAATTATTTTCTTTAATATAATTAATATAAAATGTTAGTGAATTTTCATATTTGCTTAATTTTTTGTGGTTTTATCTTTTTAAATTTTTATTATTTAATTTTGATGTCAAGGGTGTTGAGTGTTGATACATTTGACCCAAAAGGTTGAATTGTTGACCCACCACCAAATAGGAAAACAATTTCATTTTGGGTTTAAATTTTGTGTTTTATTTTGAATATCAATAAAAACTACTATTTTTTATCACGCTTATTTTCTTTTATACAATTGAATGGTTGAATTGCTTACTTGCAACCAAGATGGAAGAATGGTTTATTTTTGGGTTGGTTGGAAAAAGGATGGGTTTTATATTTTATATAGATCCAATTGATAGAATTTATTGATGAGAAACAAATCTCATATATAGGATTCCGTAAGAGAGATATGAGTTAATACCGTAAATATAAGACTTGATGAGGTGGAAAGTACTAGTTCAAATTACATTTTCCACTCTCACAATTAAAGAACTGAATTCAAAAATAGGGGTAATTTGGTCAAGAAAAGATTCAATGAAAGATAATGGGAGTTAATACCTATACCTTACATATAAGACCTAATTAGAGGGAATTTGGTTCAAATTACATTTTTACCCTCAAAATTAGAGATGGACCAAATACAAAAATAGGGGTAATTTGATCTATATATCAGCTAAAAAAATTGGCACGATATTACAATGTAAGGACATCTGAATTAGCTTGAAATTATGATCTTACACTTTAAGTTTTTAGATATTTAGGGCCCTAGAGATTGCCACTTGAAGATTCATAGTTGTTGAGTATTATCAGAGACAGACCATATGCACCATCACAATATCATGATGCATCTGCAAGTAACATTGTTGCTCTGTTGCAGGAAAGATGTGCAGGTGCTGAGTCAATAGTTCTTGTTGCTAGGATATTGCATCAGTCTAAGGCTCATCTTCAGTCTATGCTCTTGCAAAATAATACAGCTATTGTTGAAGACTTCTATGCAAGTTTGGTGCGTTTTTTCTGTTATTATTGATAAAAGCACCCAGTCATGTTTTTTCCCTCGTAAAGATATATGATTATGTTATTATCTTTTTGTCATATGTAAACTGTTCTTTCATTGAAGTTACTTCTTTTGAAATATTTATATGTTACTTGAAACTCAAAAAAAACTATGTTCTTATCAGGTGGATTCTGTGCCAGATCTCTCAGAGCACATTCATAGGACAACTGCAAGATTGCTTCTTCATATCAATGGGTAGATATGATGATAACTATGGTTAAATGGGTTATTTTATTTTTTTTGGAAGTCTTTACATTGTATTTGATATAAAAGCCGAAATTCCTTTAATAGATATTTTTGGTGCCTTGGAAAGAATTTATTTCCTTGTCGAAAAGCACCAAAAGGACAAGAACTATTAGTTAGTTGATGTATAATACATTAGGGAAGTAGTCTTCAATTGATTTTTCATCATGGTATTCTTTCTTTCTTTCTATTGGTATTCTTCAATGTTTTTATTTTCTCCTTGTTGCAATTGTGCTTGAGAATATGTTAGTTGGAAGTTCACTTATATAAGTGCTTTCAATTCTGAAGACCGTTAGTGCTTTTGAGATTTTCATCTTATCCATGTTCTTGTAGTGTGGATTATTATCAATGGGTTGGGCCAAAAAGAAAAGAGAAAAACTATCAATTGATTAGATGGACCATAGATGTAATCATGGAAATGGGGAAGCCAGAAAAGCATGGCTTGCAATATTGACAAGATTTGGAAAAATACCCTTGAAATCTTCCCATTTCACTAGGAGGCCATTTCCTAATGTTGATCCCATCTATTTGGGTAATGACCTACATCTAACTCCATTGTCTCCTCCATTTTCTCATATTATTACTTTATTAGAACAAGAATAGAGGTTAGATTAAGTTATGACGATGAGGCAAAGAACCTTGTAATATGAAGATAGTTGCCAGAGGGGAGTTACTCATTTAGAAGCAAGGAGAGGGTATTCTAGATTGAGACATTGGAGAAATGGGTTGAGGCCAAGAAAGAGTTTTTGCAGGAATGTGGAAATGGTAGGTCATTTTATTGGAGAAAACTCATCTGTGGAATTGGTGGAAAGATGGGTTGTTGAAGAATGGAACTTGATAGGTGGTGTAAGGGTGAAAAGGTTAATACAAGGTATTAGAGAATATCAACCTATTCAAGGACCTCACCTAACATCTTAAGCTTTTAGGTTGAATGGTTCTTTGAGATGGTATCAGAGCCACTTTGACCAAGTGGTCTAGTGTTTGATCCTCATTACCTCCATTATAATTAATTAAGTTTCAGCACAAGGTATGGGTGGGCCTGTGCTTGTTCACACCTCAAGCCCAATGGGCTTTCGTGTGAGGGGGCGTATTAGAGAATATCAACCTATTCAAGGACCTCACCTAACAGCTTAAGCTTTTAGGTTGAATGGTTCTTTGAGACAAGGTATGCTCCTCTTTATTCTCTCTGTTGCACAACAAGCAAATCAAGTCCTTGTCTGGGAAAAGGGTTTGTTGGGCGTAGTAATTTAAAAGGCGTGCTTCTAGGCACACAAGCAAGGCATATTTTAGGGTATGCGCCTCGCCTAGGTCCCAGGCACAACACTTTCAAAAGACGCATGCCTGGAGCCTGGTGCGCCTAAGTGTGCGCCTTTTGAACACTTGTTCTTTTTTTTGTGTGCTTAGTAGCTGGGCTGGGGGCTCCGCTCTGGACCCCTGACCAAGCTTCTCAGGGCAAGCCTAAACAAATCTATTTTAGGGTCTTAAATTCTTAATCCCTATAAAAAAGTTTTATAACTTTAAGTGTCTTTTAAACGTATCTTTTATTAGGACGAATGAATTAACAACATTAGCAAATGTGGGTTTTTTGGAGCTTCGGTGAGCTAGGGAAGTGAGCAAATGTTGCTCATTCATTCATCCTAATAAAAGATATTTTTAAAAGATACTTTATGTTATAAAACATTTTCTTATACGAATTAAGAATTTAAGACCCTAATATGGACTTGTTTATGCTTGCCTCAAGGGTCTTGGTACAAAAGGCGGCTCATAGAGTTAGGAATGCATAATGTTTTAACATCACATTAATTATTTGAAGTAATGCAATTGGGAAAAAATAAAGGGATTAAGAGTTTACATGCTTGAATATATTTTATATGTTATGCTTGATTTTATTTTATTTTTAGATTGGAAACGATAACTTCATTAAAATAAAAACTATGATAAGGTACATCTGTCAACTCCTAAGAAGTTGACCCAACTTACATACTCATTACAGCACTGCCCAAAACATGTTCTCCCTTACAGTCCCTTGTATTACTAAGGTATCTGCTAGCCCGTTAGCTGACCTTCTTGTCCACTTAAAGCACACACCAATCTCCCTCGTTATATTCATTATTTCCCTCGTCATCTGTCTATATTTTGCATGTTCCCAAACAACCTGACTGCATCCACCCCATTAACAGCTTAGAGTCCCCTTCAATCTCCAATTGATGTAGTCCCAAATGTTTGGCATATCTTATGCCTTGAAGTAAAGCCATCACCTCTGCTCTTAAAGAATCTCCTTCTCCTATTGGCCCCAAATACATGGCAATAATTCTGCCTTCCCCATCTCTAAATACTCCCCCTATACCCGACGGGCCCGGATTACCTATAGAGCTTCCATCAAAGTTCAACTTTGTGTTTTGGGAAGTTGGCAGGGCCCACATTTTCTGCACCACAGTCTTTAGGAATGTAGTACTTGCCACCTCACCCCATCTTCTATAAATGTCATCAGCTGAAAAGTCCTTAAACAGCTGACTTGTTTTCAACCAGTGAATAACTTTAATAGTTATTCCTTCTACAATTTTCTCCTTGGAGCTTTTAGTATTCTTAAAGATCCTATTATTTCTTTCTTCCCAAATTGACCAAAGAACAAATTGCTCTTGTAGCTCTCCACATTATTCTACTCCATTTCTTCGGTTACCTATAAAATTTTTGGTAAAAAAGGCTTACCACATATGGGGGAGGGGTCCACCTGCAACTAAAGAGAGAAGAGAAGCAAGACCAATTAAAAGACACAAAAGGACAAGATCTTAAGAGGTGTGTGATTGTTTCACCAGAACCCAAGCAGAGGCTACAAACATGGGGTGAAAGGCAAAGGTTTGGCCTTTTTCTTTGCAACAACTCTAGGGTATTGATTTTTTGGAGTGCAACCTCCCAACAAAAGCCCGAATTTTTGGAGGAACAGGGCTACACCAAACCTCCTTTGTTGGAAAATTCTCTACAAGGTTAGAGGACTGGAGAAGGACATTATAAAAAAAAGCACAAGTGAAGACACCAGAGGTGGAGGGTTTCCGAATTCTGCTATCCAAACAAGATTGATCCAAATAAACCGACCCTAAGAGAGCAACAAGTTCATCCACCATCTCCATTTCCAACTCCCTTAACCCTCTCCTCAATCTCAAATCCCAAGAATTATTTATGAAAATGGAAGAGATTACTTTTTCTTTGTTGCCTGAAAGGGAGTAATGGGTAGGGAACCTATCTCTAAGTGAAAACTCACTGACCCAAGTGTCTTCCCAAAACAACACTTTATTCCCTGCACAAGCATCAAACTTGAAGACAGGAAGGATATAAGGTAGGAGTTCATGAACAACTTTCCTAGAAGAACATCGAGAGGCCCTAGGGTCAAGACCCGCATACCAACCATTGTCTACCATTCCATGTATAACGACCACTCTATGCCAGAGTCTGTCTTGTTCCAGCGACAACCTCCACACCCATTTCCCCAACAACTCTTTATTCCTTAATCTAATGTTTCCTATCCCTAGGCCACCATCATCCTTACTTCTAGAAACCACCTCCCACTTCACTAGGTGATCCTTCTTGGTATCTCTTGGCTCCTATAGGAAATCCCTCATTATTATCTTCTCTAACTTGTTTGCCACTTTTGCTAGTACTTTGAAGGGGGACATAAAGTACACTGGTAGGTTGGCTAAAGTTGACTTAATTAGGGTTATCCTACCCCCCAATGAAATGTAGTTTCTCTTCCAATTTGCAAATCTCTTAGTGAATTTTTCAACCACTAGGTACTAGAAGCTCTTTGTGTTTGGGTTTCCTCCTAACAGTACTCCCAAATAGTGTAGCAGCCACTCTCCTACTTCACACCCCAATAGCCTAGCTAACAATTTCATCTCTTCTCTCTCTACATGTACTCCTGCAACACAACTTTTCCCCCAATTTACTTTAAGATTAGAAACTCTTTCAAACTGGTTCACTAACCTCTTTAGGTTCAAAAGCTCTTCTTCCCCTTCACAAAACAATATTATATCATCTGCAAATTGTAGAAGCGTAACCACCACTTCCTCCCTCCCAATTCTCTAGTACATCAGCCACTAAAGTAAAGAGGAAGGGGGAGAGGGGATCTCCTTGTCTAAGACCCCTTTTAGCTGGAAAAAAGTACCTGGCTACTCCATTCACCAAGATGGAGAAGTGTTGATTTTATTTTTAAGTTTTCATTTTGAATATGTTTTACATGTTATGCTTATGTATTTTAATTTGAGATGATAGTTTTTTTTAATAATCTATTTTAAAATTTAAATTTGTATTTTTAATTAATAATGTGTTTAATAGTTTTAATATTTTGCATTTTTTTTTTATTTTTTGGCATTTTTTGAACTTTTAAAAATTTGTAGCATTTTTTTTGCATTTTTGCACCTTGATCCAAAATGGTGTGTGCCTCGCATCTTGGGTGCAAAATGGCCCTTGTGCTTTTAAAACACTGGGCGGAAATCAGATATTACTTGACTGGTGGAGGGGTAGTGCGTGTTGCAGTGCCAATGAATGTTCAACGAGCAAGGAGGAGAATAAGGTGTGGATTAGAGTTCTTGGCCTGTCATTGTCGCTGTGGAGTCCAGAAATCATTGAAGCTATAGGAGACTATTGTGGTGGTTTCATCATGAGTGATGACTCGAAGGAGGAAATTTCAACCTGTGAATGGGTCTGGATACAAGTCCATTGAAATCAATACAAACCTGGAAATCTTAGAATTGATCTTTAACTGCTTCTTATGATGAGAACATACTTCAATTAATAACACATTTTCTTGAAATAAGATATATCAAATGTGCTGTGCATTATGCTTTTTGGAATGAGCCTCCAAGTTGGCCATCAGGGTATTTTTCTGAAGTCTTGCCTTGGGGCTCACCTCAAGGCATAAGCCTCACATGCCTTTTTAGTCACTAGTAGAGGTGGTGGATCCTGTGGCTTTTAGAGGAAGAGCATATAGAAAGCTAGAAATAGGTCTATTTGTGGATCCTAGAGGGAGGGTAGAGGTAGAGTTAAAAAATGTAGGAGGTTTTGATCTTGTTGGGTCAAGTGGGTTGGTGAAGGTTGTTTTGGAAGATATTAGATTTTTGAAGAGGATGGAGATGCTTGTGATAGACTTTCTGATGCCGTTAAGTTGGATGCATCTAGTTTGGGTGAGTGCTGAGGTCTTTCTTTTTCTTGAGGTGTATGGAGCTAGTTTTTTCGATGGGGATGTATAATGCTTTTTGTATAGCGATGGGATTGGCAAGGTGTGACTCCTCTTTATTTGCATTTACAGCTCATTTGGTTTCTTTGTGCTTTCCATTTCTTCGTCCACAAAGCCCGTAACATATACGCCTTTTATTCTTTTCCTTTTACTGTTATGTGCAATATCAAGTTGTGGTTGATTTAGGTGTTATCTTATTTTTCTAGTGCAATCTGATATGTATTTAGGAAATCACTGTGACTTCACGTTTCTGATCCTTAATCCATTACATTGCTCTGGCAAAATCATTCAAATGCTTTATTATTTCTTTTAAATGTATACATGCACAACATTTATGACTTTGATAGGTAACTCCATTTTAGGTATGTGGATCGAATTGCTAATGCTAAATGGGAGTTAAAAGAGCTTGGACTGGAGCACAACGGGTATATTTCATGAGGTTTATATTATCTCTAGTGATTGTATAGTTGAATCATTTTCAACTTGCTCTTAGTAATAACAATTCCAAAATTGGTGATAAATGCTTTGCGAAAATTGCCTTTTTCTAATCCGGTGTTGACAGATGACTTAAGTGGTTCGTCCTTGACTGTTGGTGCCATTTTCAGTATGTGTTTCAGTCCCTTGATATGAAAATTAACAGCAAATTTTATTGGACAATGTTTCACAGAAAATAGAAACCCAAAAAAAAATAGTTTTTATGCTAAAGTTAAAATTTTGTTAAAAGATTAATAGAAAATAATAAAGAAAGTTTTTTGGTCCATGCAAAAATAGAGAGTCCCAAAACTATGTATGCATATACAGGTTCAACCCTTGTGTACCCCCATCCAAGTGTAATACACCAACAACATGAAAAGACAATCCTAAGCAAAACAATTTTTTTAGATAAGTAATCCTAAGCAAAACAATCAACAGAAAAGAGGAAGAATGGCCCCCATCTTTTTTGCTTAACATGCTGAAAAAAAAACCCCACCATAACCTCCAGTATGAAGAATCCTAAAATGGGGTCGAGATTGCTCAATTTGACTGGGTGAAAATTTTCCTAATGTCAAACAGAAGAGGAAAAAGTGTGGGTGCTCTCTCCAAAGGCCTCAGAACCCAACAAAGCCAAACTGCCAACTACAGGAATATCAGGGGGATTAATCTATACTTAGTGTCACTTCTAAAGACCAATCAAAAACTCTGAAACATTTTTTTTTGGGGGCAGGTTCTCTGAGATCACTTCCAGATATAAGAAAAATCACTACCATACTCCAATGTTCATCTAAAAACAAGGCAATTTAAGTACTTCTGACCAGCCTTCTTCAAACCTTATGGTGTTTACGAATTTAGAACTGCATGAGTTTCACCCTAGAAATTGTTCAAGGTTCTTTCATAGCAACTTGTCTTGTACACAAATAGGAAAAAAATAAAAATTATTGTGTGTGAGGACAAAACCAATGTTCTCAACTTTTTGTTGGCCCTGATGGTCGAACTGTTTGATCCATCAACTGAAGGCCAAGATGGTAAATTCAACCCCAAACCTGTTAATGTACAAAAGCAGTTGACTTGATCAAAAGCCGTTTGGCCCAGATATTCAGACTGCTGAACTGTTTAGCTTGGTGTATGGTCACAGTTCATACCATTTTATAATATCACCTTTCACATTATAATTTCAATTCATTAATATGATTTGAATACTAAAATTTAACAAAAAAAATGATTTGAATACTAAAACTCATCTAACCAACCAGGCAACCAGTTAATCAAGGTCAAAACTAAAGAGAGACTAGAGATAGATAGACCCGCCATGTGATCAGCAATGTGAATGGTTTCTTATTCTTTTTCAACCATACCTTTGTTTGTCATATTATATTTGCGCGCGCGTGTGTGTGTAATTTTTAAGTCATATGTGCTATTATTCTGATCTAAGGGTCTAGATTTCACTATTCTGTTAACAGTCTGGCCTGTTCAGACTAGATGGTTGGACCAGTGACCGTCACCAAGGAAAAAACCTGGGCCGCTCTCTGGTTCAGTTTTAAAACATCGGACTAACCTAAGAAAGATGAAAAAGAAGTCAGAGAGAAAAGGGGAGAGAAATTGATTGAGAGAATAACAATCTTTGGTGGCATGTGCATCTCCCTTTTCTACTTATAGATGAAAGAGTCATTAGTTTCAAGGAGACAAATCTACTCTCAACTACAAGAACTAACCTTCTCAATAAAAGTCCCCCAAAATAATGGAAAATTTGGATAAATTCAAATGTCTATATGTGGTTTTTGCCATGGAAGAGTTTTTGGGTCTTCAATGTGTTTCATGTCATGTCAATTAAACTTGTTCAGTTGTTATGCTTATGGAATTTATTCACTATCATTTAAACAAATTTTATGGCATTTTTTAAATTGATGCTAGATTTAATGGTTCAATGTCTTAGGTGCCACTCAATTAGAATTATAATTGTTACCAACATTTTAACACATTATGATGCTATGGCATGTATTAATAGGTATGTTGATCTGTTGTTGGGAGAATTTAAGCATTATAAAACAAGGCTTGCTCATGGAGGAATTAGGAAGGAGGTAATAGCTTATACTAAATTTGTAGCGATTTGTGGTATTGTGCTTCCATTTTTTCATGATTGCTTTCATTCCTTTGATTATAATTTTATTATTGCTCTCAGTGCTTCAGTTATAATTTTAACATTTATTGTGCCATTCTTTTTAGGTTTTTGTTGAGAGCTTTTAATTCCTGTCTGGACCATCCCAGCTGTTGTGTTTTGTGCATTATGACTGAAAACTCTATTACCACCATGAACACATTTTTTAGGTTGAGCATCATTACACTTAAGAGTAGAACAAGGATAGGATCTAATTGTCAAAGTCATTTTAATGCCGCTTGATACCATTGTGATAGTGTTGACCAGACTAATCTTACAACTTATGCACTATAAGTTTTGTTTTCTTGGTAAGCACGCAGCAGGATCTCAGAATAGTGAGAGAAGAGGATGGAGAAGAGAGAGAGAAAAAAGGTTTTGGAGGGAAAAACCATAGCTAGCGGTGCCGGCTTTTTTGATATTTATATTAGGGCGACCATTCAAATAATAAAACAATGTAAAATTACATGTGTCCTTGCATCACTAAACTAAAGTAAGATTAGCTAATTCAACACTCCCCCTCAAGTTGGGACATGGATATCAATCATGCCCAATTTGTCACTTAAGTCATCGTTCCACGAGAGATGTAGGCCTTTTGTAAATATATCTGCAAGTTGCTCCTTAGAACTAACATATGGGGTGCACACTTCCCCATTAACAATTTTCTCTCGGATAAAATGTTTGTCAACCTCAATATGTTTAGTTCTATCATGAAGAACTAGGTTGGCTACAATGTTGATGGCAACCTATTATCACAATACAAGGACATGGGGCTATCAACTGGAAAACCCAGTTCACTCAACAAATTCTTTATCCACATGGCTTCAGCTACTCCATGGGACATTGCTCTATACTCAGCTTCAACACTAGTCCTAGCCACCACACTTTGTTTCTTGCTTTTCCATGTGACTAGGTTTCCTCCCACAAAAGAACAATATCCACTAGTTGACTTTCTGTCATCAACTGATCCAGCCCAATCAGCATCTGTATACACTTTAATCTTCAAATGCCCATTCTTCTGGAATAGCAAACCAACTCTTGGAAACTTCTTTAGATATTTGAGGATTCTCTTAGTTTCCTCTAAGTGTGTGGTCTTAGGAGCATGCATGAACTGACTAAGAACACTTATGGCATAAGCAATGTTTGGCCGGGTTATGGACAAATATGAGAGCCTTCCCACAAGTCTCTGGAATTGCTTTACATCCTTGATAACCTCACCACAACAATCACCCAGTCTGTGATTTGGATAAATGGAAGAGTCAGCTGGCTTAAGCCCTAGTTTTCCTGAATCCTATAACAGAGCTAGGATGTATTTCCTTTGAGAAATGAAGATCCCCTTTTGTGAGCAGGCCACTTCAATTCCAAGGAAATACCATAGGGGACCTAGATCCTTCACCTCAAATTGAGTGGCTAAGATATCCTTTAGCCTCTAAATTTTAACTTTCCAGTCACCTGTGATCACTATATCATCAACATACACTATCAAGGTTGCAATCTTTCCTACCCCCTTTTTCACAAATAGTGTATGGCCAGTCTGACACAATTTGTAGCCAATCTGTTGGATAGCCAGATGAAACTTGCTGAACCAAGCTCTTGGTGATTGTTTTAGACCATACAAGGACTTCTTTAACTTGCACACTTTTTCCTCTTTGCCTTGGGCACTAAAGCTAGGAGGTTGTACCATGTACACCTCTACCGCAAGGTCTCTATTTAGGAAGGCATTTTTAATGTATAGCTGATGAATATCCCAATCAAGATTTGCTGCAAGAGAAAAAAATTCTAATGGAGTTCTTCTTAGCTACTAGAGCAAAAGTCTTTGCATAATCTACTCCGTATACCTGGGTAAACCCTTTTCCCACCAACCTGGCCTTGTACCTTTCTACTGTGCCATCAGCCTTGTCCTTCACTGTGAACACCCACTTGCACCCTACCAGTTCCTTACCGTCAGGAAGATCCACTAACTCTCACGTACCATTTTTATGTAAGGCATTTATCTATTCTTTCATTGCATCTGTCCATTCAGGTACTAAGAGAGCTTCTGCCACATTTTTAGGGATAGGGACACTATCAACGGAAGAAAGGAAAGCACCAAAAGAGGGTGAGATATTCTCATAGGAAACAAAATGTGAAATAGGATGCTTGGTGGTACAAGACCTAACTCCCTTCCTTTTTGCAATAGGGATGTCTAGGTCATTAGTAGATGAAAGTATCAATAGCAAGAGGATAAAAAACATCAAAGAGTACCTGGTTGAATAGAATTTGTCCCCGATGAATCTGATGATGTTGGTGGTACAGTTTCAAGTCGCTCCACAACTCTTGAACTTAGTTGGCCCTTGCAACGACAAGAAAAAACAATGGAACGGAGGAGGGTTAGGCAAAGGGGGAAGAAGAACCTGAACTCATTTCTCCTCCACCTTACTCTCCCCTTGAGGAGAAACTAAGAAAAAAAGGGCTACTCTCAAAGAAAGGCACATCTATAGAGTATAGACACATAGTATTTCTTGGAAGCGGGGTCAAAACACCGATAACCCTTTTGAGAAGAAGGGTAACCCAAATACATAGGGAATGGTACGAGGATCAAGTTTACCACGAGTAGGAGATAGGTCTTGAAGAAAACAACGACAACCAAACACACGGATAGGGATAGAGAAGAGGGGAGCATTGGGAAATAGGAGTTGATGGGGGGGCTTGTACCTTAACAAACGAGATGGCATACGGTTGATAAGATACGTAACACACAATACAACATCCAACCAAAAACGTTTAGGAACATTTATGTGTATGAGTAACCCACAAGCAACTTCGAGGTGGCAGTTTTTTCTTTTGGCAACACCATTTTGTTGGGGGGTTCTAGCACAAGAGCTGCGATGTATGGATCCACACGAACTAAAAAAACTCTGTGAGATCGCTATGAAAGTACTCTTTGGCATTGTCCGATTGGAAAATTTGGATCTCTGTTTGAAACTGAGTGAATATCAAGCGTTGGAAATCTTTAATGATTTTGGGTATTTCATCTCAGGACCTCATAGGATACACCCATGTATATCGGGACTAGTCATCAATAAGCACAATAAAATACTTATAGCCAGACTCAGATGTTGAAGTAATAGGGCCCCAAACATCAGAATAAACAATATGGAAAGGAAAATCAGATTTATTATTCCTTGAAGTAAAATGATTTCTAAAATGTTTGCTCAACTGACAAGTTTGACATGTGAAATCCGACACTGACACTGACTTAAATAAATCTGGTAACAAAACTTTCAATGATTCAAAAGATAAATGACCCAAATGACTATGCCAGAAATGGATTTGCCTCTTACTAGGCAGACTCTTAGACTCAATAGCCACAAGACTAGCTTTATCCTCCAGCATGTAAAGACCACCCGCCATACAACCCTTACCAATCATCTTCCCCGAGGCCAAATCCTGTATCACACAAGAGGAAGGGAAAAGGGTTATTAAGCATTTTAACGAATTTATTATACTACTAATAGAGAACAAGTTTATAGGTAGTTTTGGAACATGTAGAACATCAGAAAGGGTGAGTCTCACCTTGTTTTAACTAGCTATGGTGGAGAAAGAACCATCAGCAAGTCTCACCTTGTCCTGACCAGATAATAGATGATAAGATTGAAAACAATTGGACTTACCTGTCATATGGTTCGAGGCTCCGGAATCTATTATCCTAGGAGAGTTTGAGGGATGTGAGGACACATGGAAAGTTGTGGCAGAATTACTGTTACCTGATGTAGACGCAAAGGAAGTCGAGGGGGAGAAACAGAATCCATCTGGCTGATTGCCCTCCCATACAGCTCCAAATGGTCATGAAAAGAAATAATGATATCTTCCCTGGGATCAATCACGGAAGGGCTCATGGTAGTGGTAGATGATTGAGGCTCCTAAGAGGCTAAGTTTGCTGCATTAAACTTCTTTTGACCTTTCTGTCCCGACTTCTTATTCTGGTCTGATTTTTTACTTAGCTCCTGGGTGCACTTTGGCTTCCCGTGAAGTTCCCAACATGTATCCCGAGTATGTCTAGATTTCTGACAATGTGTGCAGTGTGCACCATAGTTTATCCTTGTCATCAACTTTCTTCTGGAAGTCACTCTTGTTGAAGGAATTACCACCTCCCGTAGCAACACTCCCTTTAGCTACTAATGCAATCTACTCCCCCTCAGAATTATTCATCACATTCTGTCTCCTCTCTTCTAACTGTATTAGAGTATACACGTTGCACTGATGGGAGATCTTTACTCCCCAATATCTGAACCCTCATAGATTCATATGTGGAATTCAACCTTAAGAGGAAGGCAAACACCCGTTGTTGGGAAACCAAAGACTTGTATGCTTTAGCATTTGCATCACAATTCCAGTCTATGTTCTGATAATGATCTAGTTCTTTCCAAATAGAGGTCAAGTCTGAATAGTAGATGGAGAGACTCCTCTCCCCCCTGCTTACAAGTTGAGGAGGCAGGCTGCAATTGATATATTTTGGCATAATGCTGTTGTTCTGAATATGTAGATTTAGCCTGCTCCCATATCTCATTAGCTGTTTATGCTCACATGAAGGTCTTTCTCACTTGTGGCAGCATGGACAATAATAGCCATGACATCACCATGCTGTTTTCCTAGTCCCACTTATCATGTTCCACACCTCCAAATTGTGGTTCTTTAACTCTACCATTGATATACCCCACTTTTTCCCTTGCAGTTATGTAGAGCTTGATTCCCCTTCACCATTCTAGGTAATTGAGACCATCAAAGGGAATCACAGCCATGGGAAAACTCATGTCAAAGCCTCCACTCATTCCACTCTGACTAGAGGTCACATCAGACATACCAGAATCCTCAGAAGACATGGTACTTGATTTCAGTTCAGTCACAATTGAGTCAAAGAACTAGTTCTCAGTTCAGTTCAGACTCACAGTTCAGTCAAAAAATTTACCTTAGTCCAGCCACAGTTCTAGGCACAAAAAAATTCTTGTTCTCACACAGCATAATCAAATCTGATCACACAACATCACTTGTTCTAATATTACAACCCTACTGAACCAGTTCAGATGTACAAAACTTGTCAAAAATCAGGTCTGACCAGTCCCTCCAAACAATAATTCATCAATTGTTCACATGACCACTGAAGTTTGAATAGGAACTAAGGAAAGAAAAACTGCTGTCACAGCAATTACAGAATATGCAGACCTGAACAGCCCACCTTCAGGGAACAAGAAGGATCACTCGATCCACATAGGCTGAGAGGAAACACTCTCACAACAGCCACCGGTCATTAGACCCACATAACCCACTCACCTGTTTACAGAAGGATCAATTCGATCCACAAAGTTAAGGAGAAAAGAAAAAAAAACTTTCACAGCATTCGGCTTCCCTCCCCTTGGTGTTTTCTGGGCCCACAACCAAGAGGGGAGAGGAAGAATCACACAGCAAGCCTCCTCACTTCAACCAGAAGTCCCTTTTCTTTGATTCGATCACCAATGGACAAAGAAAGCAACTGGAGAAAGAAAAGGACTGATTGCACTGCTCCTAAGACTTGATCTGTCACTCTGATACCATGTTTTCTTGGTAAACAGGCAGCGGGATCTCAGAATAGTGAGAGGAGGGAGAAGAGAGAAAAGAGAAAAAAGGTTTTGGAGAGAAAAACCTCAGCTGGCGGCACCAGCCTTTTTGATATTTATATTAGGGCAACCATTCAAATAATAAAACAATGTAAAATTACATATGTGCCCTTACGGCACTAAACTAAAGTAAGACTAGCTTATTCAACACATTATTAGACTTTTGTTTTTGTTGCTGTGTTTTCATTACTGCTTTAGTTCTTACTTGATGTTTCCATTATTGATAATCAATAGTGGAAAACTGGAAATCATAATTATTTAGTCAGCTTTGCTTGCTTGGATATTGTGCATTTATTGTTCATGTATGACAAATCCATGTGGTTACTTGTACCCAATTGACTGGTTAAATTCTAGTCAGGTCTATGTATCCTGGGACCTTCTGGTGGTCTAACAGGTCTTATTCATGAGCATATACATTATACCTGCATCCAACATTCATTCCATGTGCCATTTCCTAATCTTAAAACCAGGTACAGAAGCTCATAGGGTTTTTAAATTTGGAAGGATAATCATTTTGAAGTTATTTTTTTCTACAACACCAGGTTCAGGATCTCCTCCTAGAACATGGACTGGAAAATGTTGCTGAAACACTCATTGAAGGTTTATCACGAGTGAAGAGATGCACTGACGAAGGCCGAGCTATAATGTCATTAGACCTTCAGGTTTTCTTTGAACCTTGATAATTCCTGCATTCATTTATTTGTTTTTCTTCTCACTTTTGTGCCTTATATTAATTAGAAAGCCTCATTGACACCTATTTTTCAGGTCTTAATCAATGGTCTACAACATTTTGTCTCCATTAATGTGAAGCCAAAGTTGCAAATTGTTGAAACTTTTATCAAGGTAACTGTATACAATAGTTAATTTTAGCATCTGAACTTGTGAAAAAGATGGCACTAGTTATATCGTAAATACATCAGTACAATCTTATTGTCCTAAATAATTTATATTGTTCTCAAGTATCATTAGTGGACCATTAACTGCTAACAAGTGATATATCTGATGCTGCACATATTTATACCATTAAAATCCATAAAGAGACAGGTCATGCAATTATCTGGATAATGTGCATACCATGGTGAGGTGATTGATTCCCTGTCCCAGTTTCATAGTGAAACAGGAAAAGGCATAAAATATCATTGATAGTTTTCTTTGCTATTTCTGTGTGATTGTTGTGATGGTGGGTGGACAATGGAATTCATGCTTGGATTCCTCCTCTGCTTGAAGCTCTGGTGTCATTAGCCTTGCCCCTAAGTTGAAGATTGACTCAATGTTTTTTTTTTTGTTACTACTGAGCGGTGTTTAGAAAACCGGACCGGACCAGCCGGTTGAAAAGTGACCCGGGGCCTTGCCCGGGTTCGGTCATAGCCCAATAACTGGACTTGCTCAAAGCCCGCTGAAAACTGGCTGACTGGCCGGTTGAACCGGAAAACTGGTGAGCTGGTCCCGGTTTCATGAAACCACCTGGGTCAATATATAAGTGGAATTTTAAAATGTTGTTAATAAGATTTGAACACAATACCTCTTATTTTCACAGATTACTTAATTACCACTAGTCCATCCTTTATTTATGCTAATTAAGGATTATTTATTATATATATTACATTATTATGCACGTATTTTAAAGAAAATGTAAGTCAAAAGGCTTGAACCCTAGTCATTTGTTTTAAAAATTAAGAAGCTTACCATCCATCCACCATATTTAAGTACATTAAAAGTTGTGATTATATGACCCGTAGTATATATGTATATGCCATGTCATCACGGTTTGACCCCGGTCGAACCTCTGACCCTTGAACCTCTCCCTTTTCCGGTTCTATGCCCGGTCTGGTTCTCTGAACATTGCTACTGAGCGTATGATGTGGGCTTGTGATAAAAAAATTATATAATACCATCTGAAGCTTCCTACTATGTTTACAAAAATTGTAATGTATTTATTGTGATCAAATGTAACATTTATTAATTGGCATCATTTTTATTTATTTATTATTATTTTTAAAACAGGCATACTACCTTCCAGAGACTGAGTTTGTACACTGGGCACGTGCTCATCCGGTATGACAATTCTATTTCATCTCAAAAGAAATATTTTTTTTTTCATCCTTTTCATTATTTAAAAAATCTTTTGACTATTTTCAGTACCTGATTATCTCAAATCAAGAAATCCACAACATTTTGTTGCCTTGCAGGAATACAGTAAAAATCAGATTGCAGGTCTGGTAAACCTCGTTGCCACAATGAAAAGTTGGAAAAGAAAGACAAGATTGGAGGTACTAGAAAAGATTGAATCAGGTTGATCAAAGAAAAGATTGAATCAGGCAATGTGTAACCTCTGTTGCTGTGCGTGGTCGTGGCATACAAGTTTATGGCATTTTCCTTCTTCGCTTTCTCTGTTTCATGTGGCTGATGTAAATTTATTAGTTTGTTGAATCTTTTATTTATATAGGATGAACATTTGAGGTTGTATATTTCCAGTACTTCACAGTTTGTATTATAAATCTCTTTCCTCGAAGGGAGAGAGATCGGCTGTAAATTTTGGAACAAATCATACGTCCAAGAATAAGATTATTCATTATTGTGTTACTAGGAGGAATTTCACTCATGTTCCCCGGTCGGAAGATGAGCTAACTCAGCCTTGTATCTGGACTCATATTATGTAAACTTCTTAGTAAATTTTAAATAACAGGTCATAATTCTGTGCACGCATCATTGTCCTGACTTTTCACCCAACATTTCCAGTTTCATGGAGACACCAGAAAGTTGTATTCCGAAAGATGGTTCCAATCTCCAACTTAAAATTAAATCTTTTGACAGTTTTCGGGTATTTCAGGTTGAACAAGGATACATAAATATTGGTTCTCTTGTTCACCGAACACTTTCACATGTTAAATTGCTTGTCGTGAATTAACCAAACGACAGTAGAAGGTGCAGAGGCGAGATAAAGAGACCATCATTGAGATCATGACACCATGTTGAGGGTATTTTCATGTTCTCATTTATCTGTAGATCGTCAGCTCCTTGGTATCTTTAGGTCTGGCTGTTACAGCCTGTTAATAGGTTTAGATATTAATACTTATCCTAATATATCTATTTGCGAACTTATGAAATAAAAAAAAAAGTATCGATTGTTAATGACTCTGGTTATGCGATTGTTAAATATTTATCAATTCTATGTATAAGAAAGTTTCAAGTTTCCAACTTTTTTCTCAGTTCTCATTCTCACTGATATTTTGCACAAGGAATTCCTACACTTTGCCTCGCTAATTTTGCTAATGCTAACTAGAGATGATTATGGAGTGCGTGTGTGTGTGTGTTTGGGGGAGGGGGGTGGAGATGGGGGGAATTAGTGACATTTTTAAATCAATTACGTTCATTTTTGGCTTTTTGATTAGTAACATTTTTAACTCAATTCCATTCAATTTTTCTTTTTGCCATCTGGACCAAGTTCGAAGAATGGTAACCCACCATTTGGTCCCAAAGACACCGGCCTTGTCTATTACATCTAGTAAGATTGGGATCTCTCTCTCTCAAGCTTTTTTCATTTCTCTGTCTTTTCCCATTTCATGCTTCCCCAACTTTCTTTTTTTATCTTTTTATTGTTCTCTTGCTTTAATCTGACAAACAAATTAAACATTAGGTTTTGGTTTTCCAATGCTGCCTATGCCTAGCCTGGTATCTCCTTGGCCCAACTGATCTATTAGGTAGGACTATCTGATGGTAGCGCTCCGATGTTTCAAACAAGGGGCAGTCGATTAAACGGCCGGTATTAGCATCTATATTCAGTCTCACAAGTCACAACAAAAAGTTCATTAATTAGTAATTTTTAGTATGTACAGTTGTCACGGAAGATGTTAAAATGAACGCACGACGTCCAGCAAGAAAGGGTTATTTAGGGCGATCACATGTCAGTTGATCAACCTAATTTACATTCGAATTCAAAATCACTTGAAAATGTTTCTGATTCAATGTTTTTCAAACAGAAGCAACTGAACCAGCGGAGTGCCCAATGAGCATTCTGGGTCAGGAATTTTTATGATTTTTAAAGACAGAACAATCTGAATGTTAACCATCAAACTGTGACCTAAAATAATTCTCACGACACGAGCATTTCGATTCAAATCAAAACTTTGATCAAATAAAATTGGATCCACATCCAATCTAATTAAAAATAGATCTGCCTGGGATGCATATTCTACAAAACCAAATCGAGATCAGATACGATGTGATCCATCCAATAGTCCTAGGCTCCTAGTAATCATGATATGGAGGTTTACTTGGATTTTTCATGTTTTTATTTTGCTAATCCTGGATGAACAACAATTCAAACAGTTATCAAATCTTTATTTGAAGAACATGGTACATTTTTCTATACATCTGTTTCTTATTACAAGTAATACTACCTTTCAAATGTGTCACATGTATGATAACTGATAAGTTCCTTTTCTTTCCCCTACTTTCCTAGGTTTCCCAAACTCCTAAGCCATACTCAGGTTTATGTACTTTTTGAGTCTAAACGGGCACAAGGGTAAGAGTTGAGAAGAAAAACGACACAACATGAGAAGCAAAGAAACTATACACAATGGTTCCCAATGGCAAGCAAACCATCCGACTTGAGACACTACAGAAACGAACTTCACTTCTTTTATGTATTTGAACATCATTTTTGGACTCATCCATAGGACGTCCTGGCCGCTATATGGGTGAGCGCCCGTCTGTGGTAAGTTGTGCGGAGATTCTTATAATTTCTTATAAAATCCCCAAGGCCGATCTCCCCATGCAGAAGTTGCCTGCGGAGAACTTCAGATTCTGCTTCCGCCTTACTCATTGCTTCTGCAAAATAATATTAGTTAACCATGACATCTTTTATTAAATCCAGGTTCAGCTGCTTTAATAACACCTATCTTTTATATCAATCACTATGAAAATTGAGATACAAGGTATCTTCACTGAATTATTGATTATAGTTAGGGCCGTCGATGCACTCCCAAGACCTATCCAACATCCAATCCGATTATTTCAGATTTGATGATCCATTTACATAACTGGATAATATTCACCTTTAATCCCATCCGACTGGATTCAAGTGTGGCTAGATCCATCTGAATTCAACCTGATTATAGCCCTAATTATAGTTCACTAACCAACCAAATCCTACTTCAATTTACCTTGAAGCTTTTGGAGCAAGCTAGCAGGAGAAAAGAACTTCAGTGTTTCCTCCTCCTGTCCTTCAAGGTCACTTAGTTTCTCCTGTGCAGCAGCCAGCTCTGTTGTCCGGATAATTCTGCACTGTTATTCCGTGTACAAAAGAAAAAGGTCACTGGAAGAATTATCTTTCAAGCTCTGGCAAAATATGTGGGTCTTCCAAATGTTTACCTGGTTCCTGAGCTCCGAAATTTGTGGTTCTTTCTCCAAGTTATCCCCTATTTTAACAGATGCATTAATACTTCGTGAATGTATAGGATAACTACCTTAAAAACCTGCTAACTTACTTGCAAGCTGTAAAGTCTCCTTCTGAAGTTCATCACGTACCTAGGAAGGAAAAAATAAAAGGAAAGAACAGTCAAAAGAAATAGTCAAGAATAATTTTTAAACTGAAATTAAAACAAAGAAACCGGACTGTATAACATGAGAATTATAAATTATACAAGAACCTAGTTGTTTTAAAAGCGCAAGGTGCAAAAAAGGCACAAGGGCCATTTTGTGCCTGAGGCGCAGGGTGCAAGGCGAGGTGCGTGCCTTTTTGAGGCAAGGTGCACAATTAAAAAAAAAAAGCTAAAAATTCAAAAATATTCAAACAAAATAAAAAAGTATAAAACATAATATTAATAAAAATATAAACTTAAGTTTTAAAATAAATGTTTTAAAAAACCTATTATCTAAAATTAAAATACATAAACATAATATGTAAAGCATATTCAAATGAGAATTTAAAAATGAAATCAAACATATAAAACATTTTCAGGCATATAAAACCCACAATCTCTTTTTTTCTCAATTGCATCAAGTAGCTAATGTGACATATTACATTCCTAATTCTACGAGCCGCCTTTGTGCCACGCCCCTCTATTGCATCAAGTAGCTAATGCTTTGAGAACCCCCTATTTGGTAATGTTGTCAATTCATTCATCCTAATAAAATATATTCTTAAAAGCAATTAAAATTATAAAATCACTATTTTTTTGTGTAAAAACTAAGAATTTAAGACCCTAACATGGACTTGTTTGCGCTGGCCTTGAGGGGTGTGGCCCAGCCGCCAAACTCGAAAAAAGGAAAAGCGGCAAATTTTCAAAAGGCGCACACCTGGGCTAAGGCGCAAGGTGCACCAGGCGTGCACCTTTTGAATGGGCTGCGCCTAGGACCTAGGCGAGGCGCCTACCCTAAAGTGCGCCTCACCTGTGCGCCTAGGCACGCCTCAGGCATGCCTTTTAAATCACTGCAAGAACCGAGTAAGAAATAAACACTTACATTCAATTAAGCAGAGCTAAAACAAATTACTAAAGACAAGTTTTGTTTTATAAACCCTCTATTCTAAGGCTAACCTTTGGGTCTGCATAACTCATCAATTCACTAAGAGTAAAAGGTTTCTACTCGAGCCCCTATGGTCATCCTTAAGGCGTTTCTCAAGGTTTGGAATAACCTACAAACTTGACATTTGCATCTGTAAGTACCCCCACAGTAAAAGGCATTGCAATCATATCACATTATAATCAAAGTGGGTGAGAAAAGTAAATGGCAAACTGATGTAGGACCAGCTCAGTTCTAGTCCTTAAAGTGTGTTGAATGGTCTTCTTGATTAGAAATTTATGGCTGTTGATGGCTGTAATGGCTTCTTGAAGGAATAAGAGAGAAAATGAGAGAAAGAAGAGAGAAAATACTTGGAATCACTCACAGGGTGCTTAGAATCACTCTAGGGCATGGGAATCACTCACCATAGCTAGCATAAGCTGAAAAAAATTCAATAAACTTCATTGCCTTTGTGTAAAACGCCCATACATATTTATAGACTCTAAACTCATAATAATCCTAGGAGTCAAATTGTTAAACTCATAATAATCCTAGGAGTCAAACTGTTAGACTCATAATAGTCTTAGGAGTCAAACTGTTAGACTTGATAATCTTAGTAGCACTCAAACTAAGCTGTCATATCCTATTTCAATTCAAGGAAGACTCAATAACTCCAATCCTACTTATGCAATGACTCTGAAATTTTAAACATAAGCAAACTATAACTAGGCAAATTAAACCCTAACATTGGGCCCCACAGAAATAGCAGAATGATGTCCAAAAATACAGAAACACATAAAATTTCATAAAATTCCAATTTTGACTCTTCAGATACTGCATCATTCTTCCCTGGTCCAAAAAAACTAGTCCTCGAGTTTTGAAGAACTCGAGGATGAAAGTTGATATGCCCTAATTACAAAAGGAGTAGGACTTCCCACAGCTACATGCTTGGACTGTAGAGTAGAGGCCACACATTGAACTAGAAAAGGATCTTGAAAGAAATGTAGTTCTGAAACACTACCTTCCATAACCATCTTTGTTAAATCATCAATAACATTAGTTTCTTGAACACTTAATTCATTAACCAACCATTGTGATGAATCCTCCCCTCGCTTATCCAAACCCTTACCTGCAATATTTGGAACGTTTCCTTCAACCTCTAGATTAGGAATCACCACCTCTACGTGTTCTGCTATTCTTGGTTCTTCAACAAACTCTAGGACTCCTTCCATTGTTGATGTTGGTGGAACTTGTGCTGTGTCAGGTTGTAATTCTTGAATTAGTTTTAGTTGAACTTGAAAGGTAAAATCACTTACTTCCTTACTAGGATTTACTACAACCAACACATTTGTATCTTGCACCTGAATTTCTTTAACTTGCTCCACTTCTATTTCTTCTTAATCATTAACCTCAAGCAGACCATGGGTGTAGGAAACTCCAGCAATTTCCTTTTTATTTTTTTTGGCCTGCACCCTCTTGATTTCTAATATCTACAACTGCTGTAGCTTGAAATTCTTCTTCTTTAGGTTAGATGTGATTCAGACCAATAAAAAATAGTAGAATAATTTAGATTAAAGCAAAAGAAGTAGAGAAGAAGAAGAAGACAACAAGAAGAAGAAGGAAGAATGGAGAAGAAAGGAGTTTGATAATCTCCTCTTTCCTCCACACTAATCTTTTATTAATCTTACTTAAGTTACATGATTTACAAGTCTGCCCTTAAGTGGGCGTCCACCTCATCAGCATACTTAGAAAACATAAACAAGAACTAAAGGCCCATAAAGAAAACATAGAAGAAAGAACTAATAAGTAAGACACTAATGGGCTAGGGCCCATTCGGCCCAGTCTCTATACAGGTTCATCCTCAACTTCAGCTCTAGGATAGACACCAACATGTAAGGAATCATCTACTTTGTTTTCAACTTTATACCTTCTTCCCCTTGACTTCAAGTTCTTTGTTGTAACCTGGTGTTTCTTCTTTTGCTCGAAATTAGTCAACTCCATATATAGATCATCATGGAAGTCTAATGGGATGTACTTTTCTTGCAAACACCTCTTCATCTCTGTCCATTTACTAATTGGATCATCGCCTCTTTTTTCTAGTCGTTGCTCAAGAGTTCTCCACCATACTTTTGCATGACCCATTAGCTTCATGCACACAAATCTAATCCTTTATTTGTCAAACATATCATGCCTATCAAAATATTCTTCTAGTCCAGTAACCCAATCAAAGAATGCTTGCGGATCATCATCTCCTTTGAAATCTGGTATTTCCCTTTCTCTTCTAACATGTTTGAAAACCTTACTCCCGTAGCCAACATTATTAAATCTGTTTTCTTCCACCATCTTCTCAAATAAGTCAACTAAAGACCCTTCATATGGTTCAGAAACCCAATCATCATTGATTCTAGACCTCCAAGATTGTTTAGAAGATACCCTAGGCCTATAGAGTCGGTCGCTTTGTGAGAACATAGTGAATAAACCATTAGCTCTGATACCAAACTGATGTAGGACCAGCTCAGTTCTAGTTCTTAACGAGTGTTGAGTGGTCTTCTTGATAAAAAATTTATGGCTGTTGATGACTGTAATGGCTTCTTGAAGGAATAAGAGAGAAAATAAGGAGAGAAAGAAGAGAGAAAATACCTGGAATCACTCACAGGGTGCCTAGAATCACTCTAGGGCATGGGAATCACTCACCATAGCTAGCATATAAGCTGAAGAAAATTCAATAAACTTCATTGCCTTGGTGTAAAATGCCCATACATATTTATAGACTCTAAACTCATAATAATCCTAAGAGTCAAACTGTTAGACTTAATAATTCCTAGTCGGACTCAAACTAAGTTGTCATATCCTATTTTAATTCAAAGAAGACTCAATAACTCTAATCCTATTAATGCAATGACTATGAAATTTTAAACATAAGCAAACTATAACTAGACAAATTAAACCCTATCATTGGACCCCCCACAGAAATTGTAAAATGACAAAAATACCCCTACTGTCCAAAAATACAGAAATACATAAAATTTTATAAAATTCCAATTTTGACTCTTCAGATCCTACATTAGAAAGTCAGCACCTGAACAATTCTCACACTCGTTAACTTTTTTTAGTCACTGACAGATCAGAGAAGATAGTATCAATAGTTAATAGAATAAATGCACAGTACATAAAGCAAGATAGAGTCTCTAGCCTCTCCCATAATAAAACAAAGAGTCGTCTGGCTCACCCACCCTTGCATACAAAAGCCAAAAAACTGCCTACCTTTCAACAGCAGGTTCAACACTTCCTATAAAATAACATGCCATCCTTTTGGTCCTTACTAAAATGGTTCCAGTTCCAAAAGTAGCAAATTAAAAAAGAACGTTGTATTGCCAATTGAGGGGTGGCTCAATTGGTACATTAGCTGGTTTGTCCCAGAAGAGATGTGGATTAAATTCCTGCAACCAACTTGGGGGGGGGGGGGGGGTCAGTGTGGTTCTGCGCTATTCAAACAGCCCCTATGGGGTATTTGGGCATATCACCAAAATACCATGTTAAAAGTCTGTAACAAAGTCTGTTATTTTTTAAGTTTAGTACCACAGGGGTACTATTGTACTTTCCTCATCTTTTATTTTGTTTTATGTCGCCCTAGTATAAATACAAAAAAGCTGACACCGCCAGCAGTACCTTTTGACATGGTATCAGAGCGGGACATGGTATCAGCAGTACTTTCCTCTTCTTTTCTCTCTCCTCTCTCTTCCCTCTTCCTTTCTTCTCTTCTGGATGACATGGTATCAGAGCGGGACATGGTATCAGCAGTACTTTCCTCTTCTTTTCTCTCTCCTCTCTCTTCCCTCTTCCTTTCTTCTCTTCTGGATGACATGGTATCAGAGCGGGACTATCAGATCTGAAAGGAGAGATCGAGCAAGCTTCTTTTCTGTCTTCTCTCTTCTCCAGCTACTGTTTGGTTTTTTCTTTGAAGAATAGCTACTGTTTGGTTTATTGAAGATCCAGAATTCTGCATCGGACTGAAGTACCTTCTC